GTTATGTCAGATTTACAAGAGAGGAGAGGGGAAAGGTAAGTTAAATACTAAAGGCCTGAGGGAAATCGAAAAGTTAACAAGCTCGGGTCCAGAACCAAGGGACTAAGCCGATCACAGTTTGAGAAAACTTACGGCCGGTCCATGGTTTCCCACACTCTTCCCAGGCTCTAGAGCGCCACCAAATACGAGTGGCTCGATATGGTGCCACTGGATCTCCAGCCCCGGATACTATTTCCACATGTTGCTGTTATCAAGAATTATTTCAGATTAGGGCTAGAGGCCTAGACCATTGACCAGTTAAGTGGGGAGGCGTTACTTTTGCACTTACTCCAGATCCCGAATGTATTCCCCGATCGATGTTACTCTATCGAGCCTTGCAGATCATCTTCCTGAAGCGTTGGACCATCACCCCCTTTTTTTTTTTCTCTCTTCCGTGAGAAGTCTTTGGTAGCACGCAGAAAATTGGTACCACTGATAGCCGGATTGGGGATGTTCTAGAGCTACCTTAGATTACACCACATGTTACCCAGCCTGTCATTTCTAACCTGAATTACAAGGCTATGAATAGTCAAGCAAAGAAGTCTCGATCTATACACAAGGTTATTGCACGGTCCGGTGCAGGATTTCGGATACTCGATCGTCGATCATCGCATCTTAGTGGGACCGATCGCTTAGTATAACAGGTACATTACTATGGTCACATATCCAAAGGAAACACCTGGTGCAGAATTTGGATCGTGCAGCTCTCGGTCTGTCGCGTAGGGTGCATTGTACGCCTGCGTTCAGGGTTGACTGTTACGAAGCGTAAGATCATATTGCACAATCTATAGTACGTACCGAGGCATAAACTACAGGGAGTCATGCAGTTACCATTATACAAAATTATTTTGGCACTACGTTGTAAGGACCAAACGAAGAGGCAGAGAGTAGTATTAGAGGAGACGGAGCCCCCGAATCTGCATGTACACTACGAGGGTGGTAGCCCAAAGGACCCAGCACCCCCTCCCCAACATACAGAATCTACAGAATCACGCCAATTGACCATAAAAAACTATCACTAATAGCTGACATACATGACACTATGTTTATTAATAGGTGCAACAGCTAAAAGTACATATGGGCTCGTCCCGTCAGCGCAAATCCGTCTCCAAACCCCTTCAAATCATCCTTCCTCTTTTGACCTCGCCATATACCGATCCAGCCTTAACTTCCATGGAAAAACTACGCCATATTCACATTAATATCGACAGGACGTGGGAGGTTTGCTCTCGGTCTAAGCCCGAGTAACCTTAACCCCACCGGCCGAGACTCGTCGATTTCGAGTTCAAATGCCAAGGCCGCCACTGAATATTCCGATATCAGATTACTTCAGATGAACTACCGCTTATTTTGTCCTAGGATTGGAATAGTGATCCCCAACTTTTATCGGCATTGCCGATTAATAAACTAGTGCCCAGGTGGGGACTCGGCGATCAGGCCGATCACCCCGCTGATCGCCCATTGTATACAATCCAAGGTATATCCCAAGAGATATCCCAAGAGATATCCCAAGAGATATTCCATATAATTTGTGAGATAACACATGAAAATTGGCATTGGACATCAAAATCAAACCCATCTCACCAGCATCTGCCCCAGATGAGTAATCTACGCCAGATTTTACCAAAAAGGTTAAACCTGTCGATCCCTCGGAGAATCATCGGTGTCGAAGAAATCCCATAGAAATCCCACCCTCACAGCCACAGTCAGTGCCCAATATCCATAAACCCAAACTATACCTACGTAGTTTATGGTTTATCTCGCATACTTGCGCCCCGGAGTGTAGCCACACCGAGATCTGCAGGCGGGGTTCCTCGTGTTCGGTGTTCACGTTACTTAGCTAGGACGGTAAGGTCACTCTGGGGGACACGATGCTAGAAGGGTACGACAAAGGGCAGCCTCTCTCTGTCGCTTGGAGAGGACGGGGGATTGGCTCATCGATTCGTTCCTGGCTACTTTCGTCTCTGTATCATTGCGAATCAATAAACCCATCCATCCACACATACCCGGTCCCGAAAGCAAAACAATTGCAAATGAAATCTTGTTTATAAACAGCATGAATAGGTAAAAGACGCTAAGTTCTCAATGAGCGCAAAGCCAAGGGAAAAGGACATCAAAAGCAGAAATGAGCCAAATCCCGCCGATGATGCCGCGCTGGATTAGAGTAGCCAGCACCAATTACAAAAGACCACAATTCAACGGGGGTGGATGCTAGATAGTCCACTCATAGCATGGCAAGCTCTCATCGAACAGATATGGAGGGAAATCTTGGACACAAACAAAAACAAGATAAAGTTCTGAGATCGGCATTCGCTTAAGCGATACCCAGCGGTGGCACCATCCCCTGTTCCTCGTGGGCCTCGCCGCCAATCTTGTAAGACACCTTGAACCGAATTTTCACCGAGTTGCCCTTCCCATTATCAATTCCGTCCATGAGCATCTCCTGTTGAACCCCATTTTGCTGCTGGGGTGCAATGTCTCGGCCTGATTGCGGCCGAAGCTGTAGCGTGTAGGACTAATTGATTGTTAGTAAACTCATCTAGAAGTACTATGGTAGGAAAATGGCTTACCTTCTCCACCGCGACCTGGAAATGGAGGTCTCCAATAGGCTGGCTGGTTGTGTTTGAGAAAATGGCTACAACGTGGATTTGGCGCGGCTGGTTCGGGACCCGGCGCGCAGCAAACTCAACACGGAGCTGGGAGTCGAGGACTTGGATCTTGTTGGTTGATGGAAGTGCATTGCTCGCTGGCAATGAGGATGCAAAATCCCACTCATCATCTTCCACTAGAGCGGCCTTTTGCGCCGGTTGCGGGGACGGACCCGTGCCTCCAACCAGGTCAAGCAATGACGACGAAGCGGCTGCAGGTTGGCTTGGTGTCGGGGGTTGGAATGGACTAGGTGTTGCCCGTGGGCTGGCAGAGACGAGCGACGCAAATGGGTCGGCCGCTGGTGGCGGTGGAGTCGCTTTGGATTGGACTTGGGGCGAGGCCCCCATGACAGGTGTGGGAGATTGAGAAACAGGTCGCGAACTGTTAAAAGAAGCAAGGATATCATAATTGGGTTTGAAGGCTGTTGGCGCCTGCTGAGGTTGTGATGTAGCAGGCGGTGTTGAGCTTGCTGACATGGACGGGAAATTCACTTTGATATTGGTCAGTCGTGGTGCTTTGGAGGATGTTGTGCCATGGTACTTACTGGAAGACCCGAGAGAGATACCACCTCCAGGAGAGGGGCCTTGATCACCTAATGAAAGGCCGAGAAGGTCGTTCTCCAAGGAGTTACCACCCCGAGATGGCCCGGCCTCGTTACCGTTGGAGCTGGGTTCAGGCTCCGGGTCGAAATCGATAAGAGAGAGTTCGTTGTTTGCATTTGTTGAGACACCGGTTGTGGTGCCCAGTGTGCCCTTGGGAATCTGGGATGCAGCATCCAGATCACCCTTCTTGACTAGCTTATACCGCTCGATTGTGCGATGTATGCTGTCGTTTATTTCCAATAGCTTGTGGACGGCCTCGGGATCATCCGATTCTTCCTCGCACATTTTCTGGATCTTGGGGTGAGCGCTTTGCAAAGCACCCGCAAGTTCCTGGTAAGAGCGTCAGAGATCAATCGACTGGCAAACAAACACGCGGAATATTTGATATCACCTACCTCGAAAACGTCACCTTCGATGAGAGCTTCCCCGGGCTGTTGATTCTGCAGCATTTCTTCAAGAATCTTGGCTTTTTGTTGCACCTTAACGACCTCCTCCGCGGCCTTTGCTCGATAGTCAGTTTTATGCCGATTGTCAAATCCTGCCATAACCTTCATGAGCCGATTCGCTTCCTGTAGATCGGCAGGAGTGCCTCTCCGAATCAACTCTTGGAGCTTGGCAGATTGTGCTTCCCTCTCTTCCTCTTCCATCTCATCGGCTGATCGGAGATTCTAGGCAACATTAGTTTGGCTCCGAAAACGATACCACGTGGGGGCCACATACATCACTTGGGTTCAAAACCGCGGCATCTTCTCGGCGGACCTCAGGGAACATGTACCCCTTGTAAAGCAACAGACGGTGCATATCTCGAATGAAACCTAGGTCATCCTTGTAGCGCGATGTCTGGCAGATAGTCTGGCGCCACTCCTCAATCGACTCCAAAATGCGGTGCTGAACCCTGGAGGGCCGTATGGGTGGCCGCTCGGGGAACCTGCGAACCAATTCATTCAAGAATTCCTTTGTGCCGATCTGGAGATGGAACGGATATCCGCAGTTCTTGACGACGATATCGAGTAGCTAGAAACCGCGGTTGTCAGTCCCCCCCCGCGTCAGCTGTCATTAGAGCTCCCCACGTACCGCCAATGCCAACAATGCGACATTCTGATTTCGGGAATTGATGAGATGCACAATATCGAATGCAGCTTCTCGGGGCCTAAAAAGTGAATTCATGAGTGTGCTGCCATACAAGATGGGTGGTTCCCACTCACGCATTGCCTTTCTTGGAGTTGATTAGATCCGCAACTTCGAGGTTCAGGGCCAAATTCGGCTCATAGTTTTGAGGATCGCAGGCATTTCCTGTGGATAATTAAGCATCAGTATGAATCATTTGTGTTACATCCATTCCAACACTATACTCACGAATCGCCCGCTGCAACGGCGAAGCGCCCGGCTCAGCGTAGACACCGAAGCGGTCCCTAGCCGCCATTCGTGCAGATGCAGCCTCCAGGATGACGGTGGACTATGAAACAAGAGAGAAAAGGGTATTAATCGGACAATGACGGAGGTACTGGAAAGCACAAGGATCCAGAGGAGATGTGTACAGTCGCGGACGGGGGAGGCGGGCGGAGAACCCGTTTAGCCTGCACGTGTGGCGCTTATGCTTGGCCTTGGGTCTTCTTTTTTTCAATCACTGCGTTTACCACCACGGAATACTACAAGAAACTCCAGAGTATTCTTGTATATCCTTTTTAGATTTTCATCGCATCATCCACCATGGTTCGTCACAAAAAAGACAACTTCACGCGAGGAGGCAAGAAATTCAACAACCCCCGCCCCCGAGTGCCCCGCGGTGATGAAGAAGTTGAGGGCGCGACCTCCTCGAGGCCTCCTTACAAGGCTGCCTGCTGGGATATGGGACACTGCGATCCTAAGCGATGCTCAGGAAAGCGATTGATGAAGCTCGGTCTGATGCGGGAGCTTCACATTGGCCAGCGGCACCCCGGCGTGATCGTCTCGTATGTTTCGCGACGCTTTTTTTTGGTTCCCTTAGCTTGCATACTGACGATTGACTAGTCCAAATGCCAAGCGAATCATTTCTCCTGCAGACAAGGATATCATGGAACAGCACGGTGCTGCAGTGGTGGAATGCTCTTGGGTGCGAGTCAAGGAAGTGCCCTGGTCGCGGATCGGCGGAAAATGTGAACGACTTCGTATGTGATAAGAATTGGGCAATGATGCACTAAATTCATTAGATGCTAACTACCTTGACATATAGTCCCTTACCTTATCGCTGCCAACACGGTTAACTACGGCAAACCATGGCGTCTGAACTGCGTCGAAGCACTCGCCGCTTGCTTCGCCATCTGTCGTCGTTTGGAATGGGCAGAGGATCTACTCAGACATTTCAGTTACGGGCCGTCTTTCTTGGAAATCAACAAGGAACTCCTAGCGCGCTACGCCGCCTGCGAGACGGAAGAGGATGTAAAGAGGACGGAAGAGGAATGGTTAACGAAGATCGAACGCGAATACGAAGACAACCGCATCGATGGAGGTGATGATGTATGGACTAAAGGCAACACCAATCGTTTGCCCGCACGAACTTCCGACGACGAGGACGACGAAAGTGGAGACGAAGATGACGAAGATGAGGGCAGCGACGAAGAAGATGAGGACAAGGATCCATTCGCGATTTCTGATGACTCCGAAGATGAAGAGCAAATGGCCGAAATCCGCCGCAAGATCCTCAATTCGAAATCGTTCAAGAATCCGGAAGAAGAGGAAAAGCAGCAGCCGGAGAAGGTTTCTCGGCCGGAGCAGCTGTATGTCGACTCGGATGCTGAATCCGGCTCAGAAGGAAGCGAGGACGAGGCATTCGACAATATCATCAATGCGACGACGGTCACTGATCGCACAGGAATCAAAGCGATTCAGCAGCGTAAAGCAATGGAGACGCTGTCGGGATCCTTCTCTCGGGCGGAGATTTCTGCCCCGAAGAAGGCGTGAAAGTAAGGAACTATTGAACATCGATTGCCTTCCCACTCAATACGCTTAAAATATATCACCATTTCCTAGAGTATCTTAGGTGTTTTTTCTTGCAACACCCACAGACAGCTCTATTGCCTGCGACCACTGCCCTAACAGGTGCAGTTGATCCGTCCAATCTGAATCTAAGATTCTGCTGCCAGTATTAGCACTCGAGGTCTCATCATTGGGGACCATTTTTCTGAAAGTGCGCCTCAACAGCATTACCAAGTTTCCTTTTTACTAGGTCATGTGACCTATGCAACTATATCCCTTGGTCAAGGCAAATATGTTTTTCATGCTCTATATGTTATGACTCACGTCTTATTTTGTACTCGAGGGAATATACCGGAAAAGGAACCAAATCAGGTATCATCCGTGGATGACATCCAATTCACTATTTTTCTTCCAGGGTTTTAGTGCTTATAGTTATAGTTGGTCCCAAAGGACATGGTCTTGTCCGGGCCAAATATGGAATCGGAGCAAGATCAAAGTAACTCACTTACAGGAATCACCCACCTTACAGATACGCATCATCACTCACAATACTTACCTTTCAAATACCCCTTGTGAACTCTCACTTGTCAACTTACTCAAACACATACAATAACAAATATTGCTCGCTAGAGCTGTCCATCAAACATCGAACGGCAGCGACAGGTCAGCCCATATTAACGAAATGGATTCGTGTCATCCTTGGGCTCAAAGTACATAACACAAAGATGGCATGCGATCTCAAAGAGCAGTACCAAAGCATGAACTGCTCGTTCCTCGAGAATCCAAATGGACACAATCTGCAGTTAATCCGCAGCACATGATCAATTATTTTGGTCCGTCGTGGGATTCCATGCCGTCACATAATGACAACATGCTTAAGGAGTCTCAGGAACAGAATACACGGCTGAGGCATGTGGTGAAGGAACAGGAAAATATTATCCTCAACCTTGCGCAACACCACGAAGAAGTCACCGGCCAGCTTGAGCAGCATACGGCAAGGATTGTACGCAAGATCAAGGAATAGACAAAGAAGATTGCCGACCTCGAGTGCGATAAAGGACAGCTAACTCGTGATCTCGGGGAACAGACAAAAAGGATTGCTGACCATGAGCGCGAAAAAGGAAAGCTAGTTCATGATCTCAAGGAGCAGACCAGAATAGCGTCTGCGCTGGAAAATCGAGATACGAAAATGAAAAAAGTATTCAGTGACACTGCCAGCATAATGTTCTTAGAACTCGAGTATCAGGAAGAACTGATCAGCAAAATGGCACCAAACGATGGGGACTTCTTCCAGCCAACCCACGAGATCCTAGTGAATTTGGTTAAAAACATTGGACATTGGACAGCAGACGACGAGAATTCAGATATGATGTTTGATCTTGAAGATGAGCCACAGTTTGAACAGCTATATGCGAAGCTTTTGTCTCGATTCGACGAACAATCATACCAGCTCAAAATACAGGCAATAACGCTCAACAGACAGAAAAGCATTATTGACGAACAAGCGAGCACTATCACCGAACTCGAGGCACAGAAACGAAAAATTGCTGGCAATCTCGAGGAACAAAATGGAAGGCTGGCTTTGATCCTTGAATATTTGCAAGGAAATGGTGGGAAAGGCACCTCTCATCTTGGCCAGAGAATGGTTTACAGAACCGAGCAGCATGGATTCAGTTGAGGGACCGTGGGTATGACCAGAGTAGTCGGGATTGTATCGCATTCGAACACATTCGGCAAAGATGAAATATTTGCAGGTTAACAACCTGCCTGCTTCTATGGAGTCTGGATTCAAGCGCGATCATAATCTCTTTCACTCTCACTTGACTTCAGTCTCATCTGTGCTCTTCCATTTCTACACCCAACAAGTCTCATTGGCTCTCATCTATGAATACATACTACTCTATTGCTTAACAAAGCCTTTTTTATTCTTCGTCATTGAATTTCTTTTTTCTCTACAATCTAGACAGTGATATGTTCATTTTCGGTTTTTTCACTAAAGTAGATGTAGCTTTAACACTGAAAAATTACGTTACACGCCATTCACATCACACTCACTTCCATAATCAAATGGTTAGCTAGGTTTTAGAAAGATATTGTTGTGGTAACTAGCTAGCATCCTGCCTGTTTGTAGAGAATCAATTGTTATTCTCTCCTCCCCTTGCTCTACCAGATATGTATAGATTTTGCCCAGCCTAACCATTTTATAATCACATAATCCCAAAATTAAGATTCCAAGCTCAAATCCTTCTCACTGCCGTTGCTGCCTGAAGAAACTGATGCTATGGTGCCGATGGCATCGCGGGCAATCGACTGCATGATGTTTCGGCCAAGAATGTGTTAACGAGTGTGAGGAAGTGTGACAGATGAACGGGTTTGCATCTGTATAGACCGGACGGATGGTAGTTCGACTGGGTCGATATTTCCGCTTGGGAGCATATCTGAAGGCGTTTTGACGCTGAGATGATGATGCGGTAGGTAACAGGGGTGAAATTGCTGTTGGCATATTGGAGGAATCTCTTTGTCTGGTATAGATTAGAAAGTCTGGCCTGTAAATGTCCACCGGTAGTTACATGCCTACCTACTCAATTCTCGCTTCGTGCTGAATGTAAATGGATTGTACAATCCGATTTATCGGCTTAAGGTATCAAGTTAATCAGGCTTATGTTTTCACTGCTAGGGTAATCATAATAAGAGGCCCTAAAGTCTTGATGGGATGCCTAGGGAACGCAAGGCCGAGGATATGCAAGGGCTAGAATGAATTTCATTTTGAAGTTGAAGTGGATATGCAAGGTATCAATACGACTCTGTATACATGTCTGACATCTTAAGCAAGAGAGACCTGGTTAAATAGGTTAAATAGCCTATTCCGTGTTTAATACTAGTGATTCCCAGGAAATCTATGGGCCATTATCGATGCCTACTGCAGAGGCTTTCTGGGGTGCATTTTCCCTTTTGGTATATTCTTTATGTACCAATTTCCACCTCCGAGTACTCATAAAGTTAATTGCTGAGGTTCAAAATACAGACCTTGACTTGATCTTGGTTTAGGCCATTGAAATTGTGGTATTATTTCACATATAATTTTTGTTCTAGATCGAAGGGACTTTCCAATACGAGAGGGTAGAGAAAGCAAAAGGCATAGGTCTACCTGGTTTAATATAGGGAAATTATCAGCGAGACACTACTCCATGACACGGTGAGTATCTTGGAGTTCGTTTGGTGGCATAGATGTTTTAAAGAAAACGAAGAATTGACCATTTTAAGCTATATAAACTGAAGTTTCACTATTCGTATCGGTTCACTGTATAGGAATAGTGAATAACTTTATATTATTCAAGACATCATTCACTTGTAAAATTCCCGGCTCTATAAAAGCACTAAACCCCGCGATGGCGGGGCAAAAGCCCGCGAGGTCATAGATGTCATAGATATCAAGTACCTCAGGTAACAATCCTCTTCTACCCGACCCCTTTAAGCGAGAAATAGGTAGAATAAAAGGTCCATATTCTATCCAAGATAAGTTCGTACACGTGGCGGGTGAAGTTCACATTCACCGGGGCGGAAACGCTTTCCACTTTTCCCACAATCCCGCAATCCACTTTCAACCACCACCCTTGGAATACTCTTGAACAATAGTCCAAAATGCCCGATAAAGACTCCAGCACACCCCGTGTCTTCCTCTACCGACACGGTATGTTCCAGAGCTTCAATTATTCTCTTTCCGTAGTCTAACCAGATTCTAGGGCAGACGGAATGGTCCAAAAACGGACGGTACACCGGTATCACTGAGCTTGAACTTACTCAAGATGGCGTCAACCAGGTCAATGCGTCCGGCAAGATGATTGTCGGATCCGGCAAGCTGATTGACCCGGCCAAACTTGCGCATGTCTATATCAGTCCTCGCCGGCGAGCTAAGCAGACCTTTGAGATTGCATTCTCCGATGCCGATAAGCAGGCGCTTAACGATGCCAAGAAGGTTTCTGAGACTGACAGACTGGCCGAATGGGACTACGGTTTGTATGAAGGTCTGTTGACCAAGGAAATCCGGGCCTTGAGAAAGGACCACGGTCTGGATACCGAGAGCGAGTGGGATATCTGGAGAGATGGTTGCGAAAATGGAGAGTAAGTTTTTCTTTTTTCAAAGAATCATTTCTTGAATTTATGTCCAGTTACCTACGATCAAGTATATCTGACCAGGTCAATATAGGTCTGCGCAACAGGTGACGGACCGTCTTGATAATCTCATTCAAGAGATTCGCATGTTCCACAAGGGCAACATGCACGGAGAGAATCCTGCTGATATCCTGCTGGTTGCACACGGACATTTGCTTCGTGCCTTTACCAAGCGCTGGCTGGGATATCCTATGGAGTTCCCTCTTTCTCTGATGCTCGACCCTGGTGCCGTTGGCGTCCTCAGGTAATTCTCTTTTACCCCACTTCACTGGCCTGGCAGTTGACCTTTTTCATATTTGCAGTTACCAGCATCATAGCATTGATGAGCCTGCTATGCTGGTTGGATACGGATACCCGTTGCAGGAATGATCTGAGATGTCTGGATAGTGTACATTTCATATTCACCTAACTAAATACAGGCATGGTACAAGGTGACTAGTTAACATATCGAGGGATCTATTTATGCATCTTTTTTGTTATTTATCTAGATAGAAATCGTGTAGTAGTGAATGAGATAAACACAATATGAAGAATGCAGAGTCATGTTCCCACGCGCCTAGAAAGGACGTCATAATCCAGAGCCTCCAAAAACGTTCGCATGGAGGCTGTGCTTCGGATCACCCGGGGTAAAAAAAATGCAACTATAAACGAGAAAATGGCATATTTACACCATTTATTAAGGAATCCCCGAATAGGTCCTTTAATTATATAGAAAAAGGATAAGGCCAATGGAGAATCCGGTTTGAAATATTCCCAAGTTAAACACAGCTATAGCTAACTTCAGATACAATATATAGTTCGAAGAAGCAATGAAAAGGGGCTTCACGTTTACCCCAACTCATTTGAAATTACCACATCCTACAAATGGTTTTTGTTTATGGGAAAATACTTCAAGTTCATCAGAAGCTCAGCCCTACTGCCAAGCCATCCCCCGCGGGTGCTCCGTTCGCCTGACCTGACCAACTGATATGGAAGATGGCCCTCCCCCTGTCAGCCACCTAGATGCTGTGCCTCTCGAAATATGACATCAATACGAGAGCTCTCAAAGACACGATCAGGTGGGAAGCGAGGCTCTTGGCTAAAGGGCACCGGATGGCACTAACACTAGATCGTCAACTAACGCGGGCTACGTATATGATCGTCGTCTCCCCTAATGAGTTTCATTTGTTTCTTTGCGTCTTTGCTGACATGTGCTTTTCGGGGATTTCCCTCAGTCCTGATTCTACGACTATTTTATCATAGCAACGCTTCAACCTTCATATTGGAAGTTAAGTCGGCGCCAATATCATGCCGCGCCACAAACAAGACGAGTTGTCGGTCGCTGATGCCAGAAAGGAGGTTCATGAGGCATCAACTTCCACATCTCCACCACCGTCACAAGAAAAACGTGGCTCAGCCTGGATGAATTTCCTCTCATCCTTCCTCGGCTCTAAGAACCCGCTCGCGCACCCAGCAGACCCACGCAAACACACGGTGTGGTTGCTAAACAATACAGCGTACCAGCCGGTAAATGAGGAGACAGACGAGATTCAGCTGTGCTGGCACGCCGAGGTAGTCGCCTGCATTTTTGAAAGAGAAGGCCGGAAAGACGCGGGCAAGCTCGTCGCCGCGATCGCAGACTACATCGGGCTGGACGGTGAGGTCGGCGGCGATGACGAAGCACGCCAACGCATCGCAGAACGCGTCCAGCCCTTCCTCAACCAGGTCTCACCAGCCCGCACCGTCACACTGCAGGTACCCATATCCCGGCCGGCGCAGTCGCACGGACTCGGTCCGTCCGATCGCAACGGCATCGTCAGCCAGACGGTCGATATGGGCCGAGTGGGGCTCTACGACGGGGAGGTTCTGCGGCCGCGGCTGCAGCATTTCGGTGACGAGGCTGTGTCGATGAGCACGACTTTTGCTGCGCCTGAGGGTTGGCTGGTCGTCTCGGATATTGACGATACTATCAAACACACTATGACGCTTGAGCCGACGGGAGTTATTCGCACGACATTTGCGGATATCCCTGCACCAATATCTGGTATGCCGGAGCTTTACAGATATATTCATACTGAGTTTTGTCCTGCGTGGTTTTATCTCTCTGCGTCGCCGTATAATCTTTACCCTTTCCTGCACGACTTCCTGGATGAACACTACTGCCCGGGTACACTAGTGCTACGCGATTACTCGTGGATGGACATCACGGGGCTTATCAAGTCGTTCACGGAGAAAACGCAGGAATACAAGGTTGATCGGATGGAGAAGATTCGGCAGTGGTTCCCGCGTCGGAGGGTGCTTTGTATTGGGGACTCAACGCAGAAAGATCCGGAGGCTTATGCGGAGATGTATAGTCGGTATCCCGAGTGGATTCATGCTATCATTATTCGCAAGGTTACAGATGTGGCGCATATGGAAGAGAAGAATGAACCAGAGAGGTTTGAGAAGGCGTTTGAGTATGTGCCATCGCATATTTGGACGGTCTTTGAGGATCCGGACGAGCTGTATGGTTTTGTTGATGGGCTGGGTATGGAGGACCAGGCTTTATAGATGTAATAATCTGTACATATGTAATTGGATTGGATATGTTGTTAATAATATCCTGAACATATTTGATGAAAGAGTGGATATATAAGAACAAATAATAAAAAAGTCATCGCCTGGATTGACCGGCGATCAGAACGGCACGTCGGGTCCAGGCAATACGGAAGGCAGGCAAACATCAAAGGGAAGCAGGTTGGGGGATAAGAAATACACTGGTTACCAACCCGTTAGACTAAGATGCCCTACCTTGGAGGACCAGGGCAAGTAACTATCTTATAAGACCCCCGTAGTGACTATGAGGTCTTGATTTTAATATCATATCACACTATCCCCCTTCCATGAATCACAGACTCTATATTATTATGTCAAACCAACATTGGAAGTCAAATAGAAGGATAAGATCAAATTGCTACTCATTGCAATGGAATTGATCGGGACTATCAAGTGGCGATATTGACCTAAGCCCCTACATACGTCAAGATTAGGAAGTGGCCTCCGATCTATAGTGAGATGGCAAAAGAAAGGACCCTACTTCTAAGGCCTCGGATTTTCTTACAACTCATTAGAAACACTCAAAGTTCTAGCCCAAGAAGATGCATCAAGATCCCAACGACACAATGCAGTCAGACATACCCCCCACGCAACCCATTGTGGAATACGGGACCCCAAAGCATCCATCGGAGCCCTCGATACGCACCCCAGACGCCATGAAACAGCCGTCTGAGCTCTCTAAACGCACATCAGAAGCAACAAGAGGCACTCCAGAAGCGACAAAACGCACCTCTGAAGCCAAGAAGCCCACCTCATCAACGCTGAACGACTCACCCTTCACACCACTATCGATGCGAGCCCTCTACTACACCCCAGATGTATTAAAAAACGACGCACCCGACGGCATCCCAGAAGGGGAGATCAGCGACGCCACCTCACCCGACGCAAACACAAGCATTATCCGTCAGAAAGGAACAAACCTTGTCTTCGACTGTGGCTTCCCAACCCCGCAGCCCTCCCCTCAGCAATACCTACTAAAAGTCATGACAGCAGCCTTCTGCCACGACGAGATCCGTCTCGCCGAACTCCTCAACCCCCCAAAGGCCGCGCCGCAGATCCCGCTCCACAGTCTCTGTGGGACAGTCATTAGCACGCCACGCGAAGACGACGAGCGGGAAGAAGGCCCGAAGTTCAAAATCGGCGATGTAGTCTTCGGTGTGGTGAGCTATACGCGTGATGGCGGAGCCGCAGACTATGCAGTTGCGACTGAGCGCGAGCTAGCGCTAAAACCAGACAACATCACTGTTGCTGGGGCTGCGGCGCTTGCATTGCCGGCATTGACGGCTTGGCAGGCGCTTTTTCGGTATGCCGGGCTTGATCCTGACGTGCCTGGCGGGATGAGCGAGGGTGATGATGCGTTTGGGAATGAGATGGGGCGGTGGCTTTGGCAGCAACGCCGTGACACCGTGGTCGGCAGCAAGGATTATGGCTACGGACACCGGAAAAGCACGGTCGTTGGTGCTGGAGGCGGTGCTGGAGGTGGGAACGGCGGCCTACTAAATGATACCACCAGTGGTGAGGGCAACGGAACTGGGAGTGGGCATTGGGTTTGGCAGTGGAATCGCCGCGGCAACACACTCAATAACAATGCCAGTGGCACAGCCGGTGCCAATGGTGCTGACATTGATAACATCCCTCCCGCTGCCAGAGCAGTCAATCCCCCTACCAACCCTAAGAATGTGCGCCGCGAGAGCCTAATCAGTCTCGTCAGCGGTAATCCCAGTGGCAAGAAAACCGTTCCTCGCGCTGCCAGCACAGTTGACCCTAATCCCAAAAGCACCGTCCGTCGCAACAGTTTGATAACCCTGATCAAAGGCACCACCGACGCTCCATCCACTCGCGGTGCCAGCACAGTCGATCCTACGGCTAGTGCTGATACCAATAGCAATTCCCGGCGCGCCAGCCTGGTCAATTTAGTCCGCAGCAGCCCTAGTACTGGACGCCGCAGCAGTCTGATAGGAAGCATAATTGGCAGCACGGATTCTAACGGCAACGGGAAGCAAAAATTGCCCAAGATCCGAGTGCTCGTTACCAACGCCCGCGACAACGACATCGGCCGCGTCGCGGTGCAGATCCTACGAGCAGATTCGCTCTTCCCCACCCCCGTCCGGCCGTGGATCTGTGTAACCTGCACGCAAGTTGAAGCCGATATCATTGAGAAGGACTGGGAAGTGGACGAGATAGTCATCATCCCGCACCTCCCGTCGTCGGATGAATGTAATATCGAGAAGGTGTTCCGCGCGCGCCGCTGGCAGCCAGTTGACATCGTGCTCGACTGTGCCGGCGGCGTAGTATTCCAGGCTGCTCATGCTGCTGGTGTCGTGAAGAACTACGGGGCCGTGTTGACTGTTGTGGATGGGCAGGTGGCGCAGCAGTCTCCGCTTGTTCCTGAGAACGATGTGCTGGGTGAGAAGAAGCGTGGGATTAAGAGCCGATTCGTGCCTGTTAATCCTGATGGATTGGCTATGGAGCGGATTGCGGAGCTAGTGGAAGAGAATCTGGTTTGCGCGAGGGAGATTACTGCTGTTGATCTTGCGCGTGCGGCGGATCTTTTGGCTGCTGGAGCTGCTGGGACGGCAGGGAGTCGACGTGGTGGAATGGTAGTTGTTAGGGTTAATAGTGTTGCCAGTACTTAGATTGTCATGTTTATGTATTTTAATAGATATCAAAAGTGCCGAAGAAAGCAACCTAAGGTGTATCAATTTGAAAATATCGCGCCACGATCACTTACTTGGTAGGCCACCGTTTGCGCAATGCAAAAAGTTCAAGAAAAGAAGAGAATGAAACAAAGGGTGAAGTAAATCGAAGTTGATGGGATATCCCATACAAGAATAAGTTTTGACCCGAGGATTCCACTTGAAAAAAAAAAAAAGAAAGCGACGCTCTGCCCCCAGATCACTACATGAACAGAAGAAACCCGATATTTTGTGGCCGAGGTGCAAGGCAAGAGAGAGAAGGTGAGAGGAGGCGAGAAAGAAGAAGTCGTGAACAAAAGACAATGTATTACGCGGTACCTCCGTTAAAGTAAAGAATCAAGTCTGGTAAAAACGCTCAAGCATGCAGCAACAATCTGTTCGTCGATTAGCATATGAAGTGGTTAACGTGGGGGGTGCAGCTTACCTCCATCTGAAGCTCTCTGTCCTTGTTTCGATTGATCTCCTCATTGACCACTTGAGCCAAATTAGCTCCAATCGCCTGCGAACCTCCGGCTTTCCGGGCAAACGGCCATTGCGAATACTCCGCCAGCAATTCATCCACCTGCGCGAAAGCTCTCTCGCGAGCCTCATGGCTCATAGTGACCAAAGCGTTCTCGAGAACGTTGGCAGCGTATGCGGCACAGACCATGGTGATTGAACGAAGGTATCGGTATTCAGCATCTTCGGGGAGCCACGGGCTGGGAGGAATAATCACAGTGCGGTTACTGCAGATGTTGCGCACCCGGCGGTGGAGGTCTTCTTTCGCGCCGCCGTCGGCCACGGGATGCGTCGCCATATCGAAGAGAAGGAAGTTGCGCTTTTCAGTTCGTAGAATACCCTTGTCCACAAGACCCTTAGCCAATCGTTCCCGTACCTGCTTCAATTGATATCCGATCTTCATCAAATTCCAGGTTTCACCTACAAACCGCCCGGTCAGTAAGTACGTCGCGACCAAATTTCTACATCAGGCTTATCTCACCACTCAGCAAATCAATCCATGAGTTGACGCTCATCTTCTCGCTTGACTTCATCATCTTCAGTGTCTCGTCCAGCAAGACCTCCCCAGTCAGTGTATCGTCGACGACCTCGATGATGCGGTCGGCCAGGGGGAAACGTCGCCGCGACGAATCCTTCTGCATGCTTATACGGCCGCGGAGAGCGAGCTCAATGACGATACACCCTCGCAGGGCATAGGAGATGTTCTCGTTCCAGAAAGACAGATAACCCTGTTGCGGCGCGGGCAGGTCAGCGATCGGAACCACAAATCGAACAATCAGACAAGAGATAATATCCATGATGACTCACCTGTTTATCCTTCAGACCCAGCAGCAAGATATCCTCCATCAGAGTCAATTTGGGCTGCTTGCCCCGTTCCTCGTTTTCGCTGATGTCGCGGGGGTCGAATGCGATCTTGTGGCCATTCTCTGCATTGGTAAACGACGTCTCCGGTCCACGGTTATCCATCGCAGAACCATTTCGGGAGATTGGCGATGACACTCGGCTGTCATCTTGTTCGTCTGCCCCAGCGACTCGACCGGCGCCTCTGCGGCGAGTCAAGCCCCCGGCTGCTGAGGCCATGAGATCGGGTCGGGTGGGGAATCAAAAAGGAATCGAGAGAGATATGGCCGGATACGACCAAAGGCTTCCGATCTGTATGCCGATGGTTTGAATGGTCTGGATGGTGCGATGTTGAGAGAGACCGTGAAGACCGAGAGTCTGTGGTTGAAGTGGGACTTTCGGTGTCAGGGGAAACCAGAGACCGAGTGGGCTAGCCAAAACGATAAAGTGTCGGTTATATTCAATTTAACCCGCCTAAATACGAGAGGAATAGACGACTGCAATGAAGTTGTGAAAAGGGTGAAGGTCAAAGCAAGTTCCTTTGGTGAGGTGGCTCTTGAGTATTTGCGGGTGCGTAAACGCCCATTAAAGGACATCGGGATGGTAATCTCCCAGTTATGATTATATTTTATGGTTCTAATTTTTTTTTAAATTGGCAATCTAGATTACTTGGCGTATATCTCTGATCTTTACTTGATTTCGATATGCTTATTTGGTTTGTTTTTTTGTTTATTATGTTCACTGTTAAAATAATATGTAGCCACAAAGCTCTACATACATCTACGGTCATATGATATACAGTAACCATGTATCTAAATACATACACGTATATGTATATCAAAGAAATTGGCCCAATGGACCATTAAGCTGCGAACATACCAAAAATAACATATACCAAAAATGTTCAGACGCATTCGGTGATTATCACCACGTGGTAGCAATACTGCTTCAAAATTGCATAAATTGCACTCAAATGATATACACGATATAGGAAAGAAAAGCCACTGGCATGTATTCAGCATACAAAATAGCATGTCGGTTGAGCGTCACTGTGTCCAGCAAACCCCACAGATGCCAACATCCTGATTCTTTTTCTATCCGATTCTCCAACCGATCCCATGATTTCAAATTAAATATTTAGTGGGCTGGGAAGAAGTCAGCAAATGTCACGGAAGACGAGGTGATGGGATTCACATACCATCGGGCTGGGCCATGATGTACTCGACAGCCTTCTCAACTACGTGTAATATTTATGTCAGCTCTGGTCGACGAACTATAGGTGTATCAAGTGCGAACGTACCACTGTGGATCTGGTCGGCCTCCTTGTCGGGGATCTCAATGCTGAACTCCTGTTGAACCGGTTAGATATCCATCATAAAATATAACAATTGATGCTTTTCCGAGGGAAACCGGGCGCGTACCTCCTCAATGGCCATCACAACCTCGACGGTGTCCAGGCTGTCCAGACCAAGGTCGTTCGAGAAGTGGGAAGTGCCATTAATCTGTAGGTCAAACGAGTTTAGTTGATGGATGTTTTCGGTCGCCTCTCCTATAGCGTATAGCGATATGAAGGTCACGACAGTCGATCCGACATATAATCACTGACCTTGCTGGCATCGGAGACCTAAACATGACACAAATTCAGTTAGTATTTTGCTTTTCGTCTATAGCCGATAGATCGCGAGATTCCCCGGGAAAACAACATGACGCACCTTGTCGAAGTTCTTGAGCAGGTTGACTATGCGGCCCTCGGCCTCGGTCTTGCTCAGACCAGCAGGGGCGGAGTAGAGGCGGACACCCTGAGCGAAGCAGGGAGTGAATTGAGGAACCTGGGCAGCAATGGGGGAGCTGCGGATGTAGAAGGGAGCCGGGGTCTTGATGACACGGGGGGCGGAAGCCTTCAAGGAACGAGCAATGGCGGAGCGGAACATGATGAAATAGATTGATCGGACTAGCGCAAAGGCTGAAAAGATCTAATGTATTAAAAAGAAATGGTGGAGAGTAAAAGGGTAAAGATTGGGGGAAGACGGCTGCCGCAGAAGAGGAAAGATGTGAGGTCGCGCCCAGCAAAATCCTGCGGGCCAATCAACGCCCGACAGAAAGGAATGACCTAAGCCCGAAACCTGCAAACCACCACAACCTAAGACTTGCTCCCCTACCACCTCCAATTGAACCTCGACTCCCATCCCTCCAACTCACTCTCCTCTCCAAAACCATGGCCGCCACCCGCTCGGTCGCGAGGCTTATCGCCTACCGTCGGCCGACCCCCTTCGGTCTGCTGGGATCGACCGCAAACTTCTCTTCCTCGACGTACCGCGCAGCAAGCCCAGCGGGACCCCCTCAGGCCGGGTTCCGCCTGCCCCCGCCCAAGCGATGGGATCAGGACTCCGAGTCCGCCTTGGACAAGGCCAGCAAATACTTCCTCATGGCTGAGATCTTCCGCGGCATGTACGTGGTGCTCGAGCAGTTTTTCAGACCACCGTAAGTCCTTGTCCCACACCTTGCCGGCGATGCGGATCGCAGTCCAAAATCAATCGCCTCGAATTATATCATCTAACCGTGTTGCCATCTTCTAGTTACACCATCTTCTACCCCTTCGAGAAGGGACCTATCTCCCCCCGTTTCCGTGGCGAACACGCTCTCCGTCGCTATCCCACTGGTGAGGAGCGCTGCATTGCTTGCAAGCTCTGTGAGGCCATCTGCCCAGCCCAGGCTATTACCATTGAAGCCGAAGAGCGTGAGGACGGAAGCCGCCGGACGACCCGTTACGATATTGATATGACCAAGTGCATTTACTGTGGATACTGCCAGGAGAGCTGCCCTGTGGATGCCATCGTTGAGAGTGAGTCCAACCTTCCGTTACATATCAATTGACATTCAGACCGTATTACTAATACTTTGTATTTTCAGCTTCCAACGCTGAGTATGCCACCGAGACCCGCGAGGAGCTTCTGTACAACAAGGAGAAGCTTCTCTCCAACGGTGACAAGTGGGAGCCTGAGATTGCTGCTGCTGCTCGCGCAGATGCTCCCTACCGATAATCTATTTTCCTCCAATCCGATTGGTATCTTCAGGCAAATCCACATCTATTCCAGATGTCAGATGTGTGGACACGAAGATGCTGGTCGCAATACCCATCGATTCAAGAGGCACTACTAGTGCCTTGAAAAACAAGAAAGATTTTAAGCCCCATCACATCACTGTACATAACTTGCCCTCGACTGTGTTATCATCTTGTACTAGTCAATTCCTAAAGGAGATGTCTTTCCCTGGAACACTGGCTCCCTTGTCTCTTTTTATTTCCTATGTTGTGGAATCTAGCAGCTCTTTTCTTCTGGTTGAGATTCAATTCAAAACATAAAACCAATTATATCTGCACGGAACACTTTTCCGCTAATCGCATACACATATAGTACATATTGAGATCTACAGGTTTACATAGGTATAAAGACACAAGAAACACATGTACAGCTCGATAAGAAAGTGATATTATATTCACAGATAAATCAAATCGCTACCGATGCTGTCATGCATAGACATAAATTGACAAACCAAGCTGCCAAAGACACAAACGCAAACACCAGGCACCTTGATCTCCGGACGGATATTTCCCAGTTCAAAGTCTCAAAACACTTTTTTTAGTTGGTTCGGGGGCTTCCGTGTGCGATCTTGTTTCAGAGATGTAAACACCCAAGAGACAAAGACACGTTTCAAGGGTATGCAGAGAAAAGAAAAAGAAGAATCTAAAAGAAGACGGGTTGATGTAAAAGCAAGCGAGAAACGAAATGAAATTAAGCCACTGGATAGAAGCTTGTTTATTTCTTCTTGCCACCACCCTTGAAGCTGCCCTCGAATCCAGGACGAGCAGCCTTCTTCTTTCCACCGCTGCTGGACTTCTTCTTGCCGCCCTTGGTGCCCTTCTCCTCCCGACGCTTGCGAAGGTTCTCATCGCGCTTATTCTGGCGCTCGCCCTTGAATTTGGCGACGGCGTCCATGCGGTCTCCCCACTCGCGCTCGGACTTCTTCTTCGCTGTCTCCTTGCGCTTGAGGGCCTTCTTCAGCAGAGAGGTATCGTCGCGGACACGCTCGCCGTGAGCACGCTTCTTGGCATTCAACCACATGTCCTTTTCTTCAATATCGGCACGCTTGGTAGAGTCCATCCCTTCAAGGCGGGCTTTCTTAGCCTCGGCGGCCTTGAGCTGGGAACCCGGGTCGCGGGCACCGCTGGTCTTCGGCTTGTCGCGCACGCTGGTTCCAGTGGCATCGGTCTGCTGGCCATCTGCGAACATCACACGGCCAAAGGAGAAGCTGTTGCTAACGGAGCTGACGGACTCGGCAGGGGAGCGGGGGGATGCCAGAAGAGATCCAGAGCCACCAGGCGAGAAGCGGCGGGCCATGGCCTCATCGGTCTTCTTTTCTTCCTCAACCTTGGCCTTTTCACGCAATTCCTTCTTGTGTGCTTTTCTTTGCTCGGCCTTTTGTCTGCGGGCTTCGATCAGCTCTTGGCGGTTGCGTGCAGGCTTGCCGTTGAGTCCATCGGCGTGGCGCTTAGCCCGGAGCTCATCCAGACGCTTCTGTAGACGCTGCTTCAGCTCTTCGGGTGTGTGCTTGAGAGGTTTGGGCTCTGAGGATTTGGCTTCGGTGGAGGGAGGAACGATGGAGGAAGTGGAGGAGGTGCCGGATTGGGGATTTGAGGCATCGAAGGTAGGAGAGTCGGTGGTAGATGGGGCAGAAGAAGGGGTTTCCTGTTCAACGTTGAACTCAACAGAAAAGCCTTCCTCGACAACACCGTCATCTTCTTGGTCGTCATCCTCTTCATCCTCGGACGCTTCAGTGTCCTTGGTTGCATTGCCGTTAGGCTTGGGTGCAGATTTTTCAGAATCCTCAGTTGGGGTAGTGGATGGCTTTTTGCTCTGCTGAGATTTCTCCTTCCGGGCAGCATCCTTAGCCTTCTTTTTCTCCATCTGGGCGGCCTTCTTCTGGGCCTTCTTTTCTTCCTTTTGCTTTTTCCGTGCCTCAACCTCTGCTGTCTTGGCAGCGTCTGGCTTATCAGACTTTTCGACCTGCTTTTGCTTCTTGATGTTGGTGGTTCCGCGTTGCAGTCCTTCCTTAGGAGTCTCTGTGCCCAACTCTCCGTCGGACGAGTCGGACTCGAGGGTGCCGTCCTCCCGCTTTCGCTTGCGTGCGTTTTCATCCATCACGTCTTTGGCGGTCTTAGCGGCTTCGGGGTTCAGCTTCGCCCGCTTGGCCTCGCGTGCTTGTTCTTTGGTTTGCTTTTTGCGTTGCCATTGATCCTAAAAATTGGGGAGGATGGTCAGACAGAGATCTTCGGAATGAACGATAAAAGCAAGAAAACAAGATTGACCCCAATCCCAACGCAGCAAACCATCAGACACAACAAGGGCTACATACACTTGTATCTTCTTCGCCATAATAGTATTTGGCGGGGATCAAAGACAGCAGACCGTCAAATGCCTGCGCATGGCTGCGCAGCCGTTCCTTGGGGGCAGTCAGCTCGCAATCCTTGCGGGGCATTCTCCGAGTGCACAAACCTCGATATCATCCATGATCTTTTCCCGTAAACAGAAATTGTTATCTGGAGGGGAAAGCTCGACAATCAAGCGCAACGAAAAATTTGGGGGGAGGAAATCTTGGCGCTACAATTGTCTCCGCTTCGGCTGGTTCACCGCCTTCACAAACCAATTTTGCTGGGTTGGTCTGTGCGTTGATAGAGAGGTTACCTGGAGGCTGGTTGATTGTTCCCTCGACCTTATTATCCTTTGTATTGTTCTCTCCATTTATTCCTTTTGATTGTGCTCTATTCTACCTTTCTCTTTTATTGACTTCATGGCTATATGCATTGTTTTATTCAATACATGAGTATACGCTCAATGATAAACAAAGTGGAATGCTTTCCATCTCTATATCAAAACTGATCCACGAGGCCAGCCCTAACATCTAGTCCCGGGCATTCCTCGCTTTTGATACTCGTCACATTCCCATACGGCCAAGGATCTATCCAAATAAGGTCGAATCTGAAACGGTCAGCGACAGTCAGCGCAAGAAGAAAACACAAGGCAAACAAACGAGCTTCTGTCGAAAACAGTCGCGAGTCGAAGTTTCCACGGAACAACCGTCTTCCAGGCATATTTGTCCCAATGCGAAACCCATACTAACAAGCCAAAGACATATGAAAATACAATCACCTACCGCTCATCCGGATATTCAATAGGCTCAAAAGCACCAAGCTTCTCCTCGATCCCACCCATTTTCGAGTGCCGCCATGCAATCAAAATGTTGCCCGGTCCGTCATAGGATCTGATCGCCTTCGCCACGCATTTTACTTGGTTCCGCTTGCAATGTGTGTCAACCGTGAGACCGAGATCGTTGGCAAGGGGTAAAACAGTTTCAAACGAACGTCCATGCTCGCCATCTACATACACAAAGCATATTGTCAGCCATGTCTATGAAATCAATATCCCCCGCGCCTCATTCCCGCACTGCGATATTGGTTTGTTGTCGAGTCTTGTTGCAAACCTACTCTTTTTCACACGAGGTGCCATAATATGCCCGATGCCGTACTCCGAGCCTTGACCGAAAACATGCCTCAGACACTGTGCCCGCTTGACCCCGTCTGAGCTTAGACCATGCTCGTTTGGATTTTGAGGCTTCTCACCATGTCGAATGATATAGACCGTTGGGTGTGGTTTAGCAGATGCAATACCGAGACAAAACCACAGAGCTGCGAGGGCCGATTGCAGTAGCATTTTTGGCACATGGACTAACTATATCCCAGTCGTATATAAGTAAGCGCGTAATAGCTGATATCTGGACAACGAAACAGTGAAGAAGCAAGAAGAATGATCCCTAGAAACAATTATAAAAGTGTGAAAAAAAGCAAAGCTTCCATGAAAGCTGACCCATGCCGATCAGGTGCCCTTAGCTCGAGTTAGTGCAGGACAACCATAATCCAACTCCTGTTATGGAGTCTCACATCGAAGAGAAAAATAGGGCTGATACATTAAAAAAAGCAAAAAGTGGATCAGCAGAGTAACATTCCAATGATCATCCGGCAGCAGGGGGGCCAGGGCTGAAAGAGGCATAAACTGCTGGAGCTCAGACGAGCGGTTAACGGACTAGTGTCCTATGTGCATGTGGGCGTTCGTTCGATGCGCTATAGCTCGGCGGTTTGATTGGTCTAGCATGTTCTGCATGTCCACTGCACTCCGTCGATCAACTCGGGTGGGGGATGACCTAGGAGATCTGAAATGGTGTTGATAGACATCAAAATGTTTACTAGTTTAAGTTTATAGCAGATATAACATATACGATATAGTCTAGATACATATCAAGGTCTAATGACGATTAAGATCGTGTCTTCGGGGTATATCGCGGATGCGATTTGGGGTCTTGCACTCGGCAGTCAGCGCGTACGCTGTACAACGTAGGATATACATGAGGACCTAGGGATGGATTAAACTACTGTCATCCGATCAAGTCGCATGTTATAGTCCAATGTTTAAAATAGTCAGGCGCCGAACATAATGGATCATCCAACACATCAGAAAAGAGAGCATCTGAGTGGTCCACGGGATCAACAGGTGGTCTGTGGTCAAATCGTTCTTCGCCAGAAAAGGTGATCTGATGACGGTATCCTTTGTCAGTATTCATTGTAGGCAAGATGTATATATTATATTCTGTAATGCTTGATCGCATGTTCCTCGACATTTATATATATATATATTTGACACTCCTAAAGTCAAATTATATATAAATGATTTATATATGTCGTTACCTCCCGATTGGAAATCATACGAAGGTCATTTGAACATGTCATCATTATGATTTCAATGCAATTTGACTCATTTTGGGGACATTATTAGATATGTTAAGACGTATGTAGGCCAATGTTGGACCATCGGTATTATAGGGGATAATACAGCTACATCTTAGATTTAAAAAGTCTCGTCACAGTGTTCGGATGACGCCACAGTTCGGAGTAGCAAATTCCAAATGGTGTTCGGGTCGGAAGTAACTTAGCGTAGGCAGCCAAATAAATTGCCCCAATACAGGAATGCCGAGAGGCACTACGCAGTAGTGGGGAAAGATATTCTGGAAGATCTGTGGAAGCCGAGGGATCCGTGTAATCTATTTGTAGAGCACGGTACCTAGGTAATGTATGGACATGGAGGCTGAGCTTGACATAGCCACAGTTAAATACAGTAAAGTATGTACACTGTGTTGCGCAGAGTGTGGCGGTGTCACTTAAACGGGCTGAGTGCATAGTTCCGGGGGATTCGATTTCGCGTTCGAACTAGTAAGATGACGGTAAAAACCAAAGTTTTACAAGGCTGAAAGGCTGACGCTTCCCTACTGCGCCCCTCGTTCCGTAAGTTTTCGCTTGCCATGTGGGGTTCTTTCCGTCAGCCCTGTGGTTACTCCGTACACCTGGAGTTATAAAAGGTTGCCCCCTCACTTTACTTCTCTTCTTCACTCACAACTCTCTTCCATATTCCAATCTTCTATCAAGCTTCATATTACATCATGTCCGGCTACGACCAATACAACCAGGGCCACGGCCAGCAAGGTTATGGCCAGCAAGGCTACGGCCAACAGCAAGGTTACGGTGGCCAACAAGGTTACGGTGGTCAGCAAGGTTACGACCAGCAGCAACAGTACGGCCAGCATCAAGGCTACGGTGGACAGCAAGGCTATGGCCAGCAGCAGGGTGGTTCTTCTGACTACTACGCCGGTCAGCAACACCAGCAGCAGGGCTACGGCCAGCAGCAGGGTGGTTCATCTGATTACTACGCCGGCCAGCAACACCAGCAGCAAGGCTACGGCCAACACGACCAGAACCGCCAGGGGTATGTACTTTCTTAACCTTTCACTTCGTTCATCATGTACTGACAGACCAAAGTGGTTATGAACAGCAGCAGGGTGCCCCCGGTGAGGCCCAGGAGGGCGAGCGTGGTCTTGCCGGTGCTCTCGCCGGTGGTGCCGCCGGTGGCTTCGCTGGCCACAAGGTTAACCACGGTTTCCTCGGAACAATCGGTGGAGCCATTATTGGTAGCATCGCTGAAGATGCCGTCAAGAAGCACCGAAAGAGCAACAGCCAGTCTCCTCCTCAGTACGGTGCCCCCCCTCCCAACGGTCAATATGGCGGCCCTCCTTCCAACAGCGGCAGCGGCTCCATGATGGATCAGCTCGGTGGCTTCTTCAAGAAATAGAGGGTTTCTGAACTTTCTTCTTACGTCTTCTGCCTGATGATATGGTTTTTCTGCCTGATGACATGGTTTTCATGAATTTCTTTCTTTGCTCTTTTATCGCAATGGGTCGGCCTGCATTTTTATTTTCTTCCGCCAGATCGCTTTTATTTTTCATGAGGTTATTTCTTCGCCCTCAAGAGGCTTGTACCATGACAGAGCTGCGTTGATATCGGAATTCACCTTTATGTGATCTGACCATAATTTTCAGAATTGCAACGTGATTACCTTGCTGAAATGTTCCTTGTATAAAACAGTAAGCCAAACAGTAAACCGTAAATCATAATGATAATAGACACTGCCATTTGTGAGAAGTAGTGTAGCAGGCGGAGAGGCCAAAACATCACCCCAAGTGGAATAGCGTAAGGCCTCACTCAGGCAGGAATTGCCAAGCCCGACAAAAGTTCGAGCGGACAAGTCCCTAGTAACCTCTCTGCCAGACAACATCTACAATTCAGCATTCCCAAAATGATTATACGGAAGCTTTGTATGCGCCAGAGTGAGTGTGGTTCAATTGCTGCTATCATCTTCACTGCCTCTGCTAACAACATCCCAAAGGCCGCCAGCTCCTTGCTCTGAGCCGACGAGCCCCGGTTTCGAGTCGCTTCCAATCGACATTGCCCGAAACCCCAGTCGAGACATTGCAGACATCTATCAGAGATGAGATCTCTCGTCCAGAAAACCCTCTCCTTGAGATGGTGCAGGCGCAATATGAGGCCAGCACACCCGCACAACAAGAATTCACATCAGACGAGCCGCCAAGTGAGCCGCGAATTCCTTCTCGGAGATTCCTCCAACGCACCCACTAACTTTATCTTTCTTTTCTTCCCTTAGGAAGCAATTTCAAAAAGCTCGGCACAACCGTGAAATCCTCCTACGACCCCGAAGATGTCATCCGCAATCCCCCCAAGCCATCCCAGATCTCCCTGGAAATGCTGCTCGCAGCAGGAACCCACCTGGGCCACTCGACCTCGCGCTGGAACCCACAGAACTCGCGATACATCTTCGGTATCCGCGAGGGTGTGCACATCATCTCCCTGGACGTAACAGCCGCGCACCTCCGCCGCGCCGCAAAAGTAGTTGAGGAGGTCGCCGCACGCGGCGGACTAATCCTCTTCGCCGGTACGCGGAAGGGCCAGAAGCGGGCTGTTGTCAAGGCTGCGTCGCTGGCAAAGGGATACCATATTTTCGAGCGGTGGATTCCGGGCTCTCTGACGAACGGCGAGCAGATTCTCGGACACTGTGAGACAAAGGTTGTCAACGCGCTGGATGAGGAATTGCCTAACTTCAAGGCTGATCTTGCTGATCGCCCGTCCCTCAAGCCCGATTTGGTCGTTTGTCTTAACCCCCTTGAGAATGTTGTCTTGCTGCATGAGTGTGGGCTTAACAATGTTCCTACTATCGGTGTCATTGATACCGATGCGGATCCTACACGTGTTACCTACCCGATTCCCTCGAACGACGATAGTCTGCGCGCTACTTGTCTTATTGCGGGAATCCTTGGTCGTGCTGGTGAGGCGGGTCAGGTGCGTCGGTTGAAGATGGCACAGGAGGGCCGGACTTCTTACACTCCTATCACAGCTCAGGAGCTGCGTCTTGATCCGTTTACGGGTATGGCTCCTGGTGGTGAGGGGCAGAAGAAGTAAGGGGATGCGTATTGTGTCTCCTGTCTTCTGTCTTCTAGTTGCATTTTGCTTTTCCTTTTAGTATCCGGTCGATTGCATTGAAACGACGGGACTCTGTACTGTATAGATGATTCCAGGTCTTGGTGTTGAGATATGTATTAACAGCTTTGAGTCAATTTTGGTTCGTTTTTTACTTAATTCCAACTTGTGAGGGCATAAACCCCGGGTGATCTTTAGTACATGTAGTCGGGCCAAAACATGGTCCTACACCAAGTCAAATGACATCCCCCAAGCAAACTATAAAAGCACGACTTTGCCGACCCTATGACCCGATCAACATTATTCTATTTCAGAATAGAAAACCAGTAGATATCGTATAGGTAGGATGATAATCTTTCTTAGTCTACTTTTTAGATACATATAAGGCCCCTACAAGTTGTCAGTTGTGCTGCTTTGGTTGTTGTTTTGAAGGAAAAAGACTGAAGCTTACTGCGCTGGAACTTCCAAGGCTTAATTGGGCCAGTGATACTGATAAAAGACTAGGATGTTATATACAGAAGAGTACATGTTATGAAAAACCCAGGAGATGACTAGAGGGAGAGAGGAGAGGGAGGAGGAGAGCTGGTTCTATATGTATGCTGGAACAAAGACCCGTTGGGCCAATCCTGTGGGACTACATGCGAAAAACACACACAATGCGTCATTTGGAGATACTATGTTTGCTCGTGCATATGCTGACAGTGCCGGTTATCTAGGCATTGGCCATTCTTTTGGACAATGACTGTCTTACTTACTCCCTGGAGGTGCGGTTTATACTACGTTGATTCCATAGCTTAGCCAAATCCCCTATTTAGTGCGCCAACGTTTTCTATATGCCTGATTTCTTTGGCGTTCGTTCTCTGTTTATTCGCACGTAAACACCGAGGATGTGATCGGACCTCTAAATTGTGATATCAACGCTTATCTATTTGGTACATGTTATGAGATCTATCGCTTTGTAAGGAAACGGAAAGCAACGAGGTTCAGAGTCTCGGTACCATCCACCTCGGTAAACTCGCGGAATCGCTCAAACCCGCATTTCATCAGTACGTTCTGACTTCCACTATTGCCTGCTTCCGTGATAGCGATAAGGTGTCCATCCACTACACCTTCTCCAATGACCATTTCTTTATCGACTCTGACCTCCCGCTCTGATCGAGGTAGTTCTGACCAAAACCGGAGCCAGGCCGTCAAGAATTCCGTCGCGAAGCCTTTCCCCCAAGCTTCCGTCCGAAGCATGTATCCGGCTTCAGGCCACCCATGTGTTCCAGGATACAGATGGCAGCCACCAATACCGATAAGCTCGCCCGTTTCCTTCAGGCAGATAGCGAAATTGGCGGTGATAAGATCGTTTGGTGGTAGGAAAGGATCCAGTTTGGATTTGGTCTTCTCAATGCTTTCGTCGATGCACCTAGCACTGGTCCATTTCATGACTTCTTCTTGTGTGCGCAGGACGTGTAGCGCTTCTAAGTCGGCTGGTTGGAGGGCGCGGAGGAGTAAGCGATCCGTTGTTATTGCTGGTCGCTCGCTATTTGCGGGAAGCGGGACTGTGGGCAAGAATGCCCTCACATTTACAAATTCCCCCTCTGTGGCCATGGTGATACCTGCTTTCGATGCTGATCTTCGAAATGCCTGTAGTGCGGTTGAGTCACTGAAAACCCTGGAATCCGATCTGACATTGAAAGTCCACTCGCCTGACGAATCCACATCGGCCTTCGGGGACTTGGAATCCCCGGAGACCCACCAATTGGTTCGATCTATAGATGAGGTACTCCGTATAACTGACCATCATAGTCCTTATCACACATATCTACTCCAATCTTGGACTGAAGTGCGCGACGTCTCTTTCAAGAAATGGGTGTCTTTTACGACTTCTAGAGTTCATTGCTTTATTGAACTTCCCTTTCATCACATTGTTCTCTTTTGCTTCATTGTCTGGATTTTGGTTAATTGCATTGATCAAGTGTTCTTTGAACTCTCAGCCTCGTCTCGGTCTTAGATATATAAAAGCCAGCACTGGTCACCATTGAATCCCGTCGAAAAGACATACCATATCAACAAGTCTACAAGTCAGCATTTTTACAGACTCTTCTCTAATACTTCATCTGACTAGAACTTTAATTGTCACCACAGAGCGAGATGGCCGACAATTACGTTCGGTGGATAATTAGGGGACGGATCCAACAGAAATGGATCGAAAACCGTGGAGCGGGTTGCTGGTACCCTATTTCCACGTTCACTTTGACGCTCAGACACCATGACTATACTGTCGACCGCACATCTGTGAAGCTAGATGCGAAGTTACTAACTACCCTGAACATGAACAACGCGAATTCCACCTATCGAAAGATCAGCATCACGCAGTGTGTCGAAGGCCCACCGGTGTGGTGGATTGGACGCACTGGACCAGGTGTGATTATTATTGATGACATCTTCAGATCCAAGAGAAGCGAGGATCCGTACATATCCGAGTTTACCATGGCGGCCTACAAAATGGATTTTCCCCTGGATAGCCTGAAGAAGGTATTTGTTCCCAATGTCAACGAGAAGAACACCCTATTATGTGTTAGAGAGGTGTATAAAACCCGCGAAGGAATACGCTATCCATCTAGCGCAGAGCAGACATGGGAGCCTTCCTCATCTGAGTTCCATGCTCTACTAGGCATCGGGATAGGAAAACTCATTGCAGCATTTGTTCTGTGTGCGTGGGGTCAAGGGAGAAAGCGAATTGCGAGAATCGTCACTTTCCACGTTGGCGCCGACGTTCACAAGCTGTACATGCGGTTTGATCTGGAGGATATGTGAGAATTTCCTCAGTCTGCTTTCGCTAAACTTGTGTCTAGTTCGTTTTGAATGCTTAGTTTGGGGTAAATAAATATGATAAATTGATCGCGAGAATTTTAGTATAGTGAACCCCCCCGTAGGTTTGTTTTGAAGGGAGTAGCATCTCAAGACTTTTCGATCAAAGAATAAATGCAAGAAGGACAAGGTTAATTTAATAATAGAATTGCCGCAGACCAAAAGGTTCAATAAGATAAGAACCATTGAGAATTAACTAGATCACTGGCTTGTTGGCTAGTAGATAGGTGGGTGCCCGGGTGAAGGTGAGCAGCCTCGTGTCATGCAACATGGGATGGGGCTCCGCGGGGTGAGATATGGGAGAAAATCTCACGGATTTTAAACTAACACCGTATGGGACAATGGAGATCTTGGCATCTGCATACTGCTTTAGCTCATTGGAGGTGTCATTTCGGGGTAGGATCTTGTCCGGGGTATCATCATTATTTACAAGGAACCACTCTTTTCTCTCGAAAATACAAATACAGCAGGCCGTATTGAAATTGCCCACTTATGACCAACACTTTATATGTACAGTGGCATTTCATAAGTATTTGCACCCCAGTACTCCGAAAGGCTCCAGGCCACCTTCCATTCTGCCTGTTAAAACTTCATTCAACCTCTTAAGTAATAAGCAGTAACTAGAAAGCTCACATACACGCTCATAGATTTATGGTAGAAACTCCAGCTTGCGGGCTATGATATAAGAGAGTACAGGGAAAGCATTAGGTGGAAGTACTGGGGTGCAAATACTCATGAAACATGACTGTACTCCGTATAAAACATAGTCTCCATGGGTGTACGGGATACGGAGTATAGCAGCAAAGTGCATACGAAGCCGCAGACTTGCATGAAGTCGAGAGCCCCGAACAGCCACCAACCGGAATTCGGTCTCATGCGGGGAAGGTTACGTGGACTTAGCTTTGAAAATGACTAGAATTAATCAAAATGTAAGGAGATTTCACCATCTTATTCTTAAATAAATATTTCTATTTTGTGAACTATTGACGCCTCCACTTCTTCCCAAACCTCCACTCCAACCATGCCAAACCAAGACAGGCCATACATAGCCCACCAAATAATGTGAACGTCCATCCCGGTCCGGTTGCATCTAAGCAACTTTGGAGGAACCCAAGTCCTGCACCCGCAAGTGAGCACCGGACGATATTGTTTGCTGCCTGCGCTGCAGCCGGGGACTTAGGGTTTAGGTCTGTTAGGAGAGTACCGCAGCACTAATTCATACCAATAAAGTTTAGTGAGGCTCCCAAGGAGGGGGACGCAGACGTGTAATGACAGATACTTGCATTGAAAGTGATCGCTACGGCGAACCCTATTATAAATTGTAGAACAAGGGGAACAGCTATATGCTATGTTTTTAAGGGTTCTATGAGCATCTATCACGATTGATACTTTATAAAGCTGGGTGGATTACTCACAGATCTGGACTGTAATGCCCACCCATATCCAGTGGTGGAGATCCCTGTTGCGCAGATGGAGTACCATATACTCCTGAACCGGGCTTTTTCAATGGGAAACGCACTGAGATCGTCGCCATGGGTAGTATCTACTACAAGATTATGGGCGCGAGCTGTGAGGCGGTAGTCACGGTTCATGATTTTCCCTAGCCAGATAGCAGTTAGGTGTCATTCTATTTTAGTCAAAAAAAGAAAGAAAGAAAATGATACCTGAGCAGTATGCGCCAATACAGGACCCGATACCAAAGGGTAGGTAGACCAACCCTGCCTTGAGCTCTGAGAGTTTGTAGATGTCAATGAAAAGGGTCGACAGAGAACCTTGAAGGCAGCTAAAGCTCATGTAATAGATACCATATATGGCAGTGATGAGAAGACTGTCCCTGGATGCGAGGATTTTCAGAGTCGCGAGAGGGTTTGGAATCCGGAATTTCCGTGGAGTGTTCTCTTCCTCGTTAAGAGAAGGCAGCGGGGTGGGCTTTCTCGACTGGTGATACCGGAAAATTGGGCGATAGAGAGCTGAAACGTGTCGCGAACCATTCCCGACGATAGAACGGGCTGTTTCGGGTAAGAAAAGAGCGATGAGCAAGATACAGATCCCCGATGCTATAGCGGGAACCCAGAATATCCAGCGCCATCCAGGAGCTTCACTCAAGGCTCCCCCGAGGATTGGGCCAATTGCAGTTGCAATATTGGGGCTATAAGACAGAAGAGTTAGGGTGTCACTTTGAGATGATTTGTGGCGAGGGAGTGAGAATGTGAGTTTACCCTAAAAGCACCACTCCAACATAACCCCCACGTTCGGACGGTGGAGCAATATCAGAGATCACCCCGTACCCCATCGCAATAGTTGCTTATTCTTCGTTAGCGAACTTGATACAACATACATGAATATCGCCCCTGTAGGTCAAAGGATGGGGTTTAAAGTAAGCATACCAGCGCCACCAGCACTCTGCATCATCCTCAACAGGAACAGCGCTATCCAACTATTCTGCACCGCCAATCCTATATTGGCGACAGCATAAAGGAGCAAAGTGACCAGGTAAACGTTCCGCCTACCTGTCATATCAGCCAGATCACCAACAATGGCCGGCGCGAGTCCAGCAACTATCATGTAGGAGGTCACGGTAAGATTTATCTTTTCCACTGAAACGTTGAGGGACAGAGAGAGGGCGTTGATAGCAGGAAAGAATATAAACGAGGATAAAGGAGAGAAGGTTGCAGCGAATGTAATAAGAAAAACCACTACATGCTTTTCTCTTTTGGTGAAAACGGAATATGCTTCCTGCTGAGGCTCGGAGTCTGCATCTTTTGGTGGGAGCAAGACTTCAGATTTATGTCGGACAATGCTTGCAGGAGTAGATGGATACGCATGCTGAAGAGCCTTTTCGGTTGAAGCTCTAGTATGTCCTGTTTCTCCATTATCCATGACGAATATCTGCACCAGAAGTAGTAGATTATTGCAAGAGGAGTATACGATGGGGAGTATATGATAGCGAGGCTGTGGCGGAGCCCTGTACAAGGTTGGGCTGAAAGATGGCTAGGTAGTTCTGCACTCCGATGAAGTGATACTGGCTTTAAATGCAGATGGACTGCATGGCAGAGGCTAAGCGTCGAACATTAAATACAGTGAGGGGTAAAATATGAATAATTTGGGTATTGAAAAGCAGGGATCGTATCTTATTCGAGCGGTCACCGTGATTCGTTGGATTGGATATGTCGGGATTTATGCGCCCTTTCGTTACAGATGAGGGACTTATGTCCACGTTTCAAGTAAAAGGGCCTGACTGCTACTTTGATCTAATTGAAATGATTTTTAAGCTTTCAGATCTCTATCAGCCACTCAGTAATATACTTAATGAGTGGATTGTCCGAAATTAGGTTGGCATAGAGCACTCAGGGAGGTAGAGATTCGCGACAAATCCGAAATTGCATTTAATTTATGCATATACGAATAAATAATACCCATTAGGACTCAGGTGGTGCCACTTTAAGTACTTCCTTCGTCAAGTGGAGCGTATTTGTTGATCAGGTAGTTGAGGTTCTCATAGCACCTGCCATGACATTCAATCAGTAAGAATTCAAGAATGGTGTGTTGAAAATTTTACTTACTCTTCCCGGAAGCTCGAGCCATTATGGCAAGCTGATTCGTGTAGTGTCATGTAGAAACTGTAGATCCGGTTGCGGTCCTCAAATTGCTCGACGGGCTTACTGACGCCCATTCGGTTGAGATAGGAATTGAGGTAAACCTTCGCGCTCATGGTCTTGCAGAACCTTGCACGCCACATAGCAATTTCCATCTCGTTATGTGCATAGTAAACACTCGCGTCAAAGATGTAAAGCTCCCCGTTTTCAAGGCTAGTTCCAATATTTCCATCCCACAGATCGCCGTGGATCAACGTTGGCTTTACAACCCGGCCATCGGCTTCCAAGGGTCCCAGCACCTGAGGGACTACATGCGTAATGAGTCGATCGACAAGTTGCTCCAAGTTCTTCCAGTTGCCGTTCTTTTCTGTATTGAGTGCCATCGCACCTCTGACTAGCTGGATATAAAAGTCGACCCAGCTTGGGTTCCACGCCGTCCGCTGAGGGAGACTGCCCTGGCACGTATTGATGTGGAAACCAAACATGCCAGTAGGGGATTTGCTTGCTTTATGCAACTGCACGAGCTTGGTGGCGAGCTGGATTGGATCTGGATCATTGTTGTCCATCTCGATGAAGTCGCACAAAAAGTAATACGTGGCAGGGCTGGAAACACTAAGTTTTCCCCATGCGTAAGGCTCTGGGACAAAGTTGGGGCTCGTTTTGTACAGTTCAACCATGGAATTGAACTCTCCCTCTAACATGGCCTTCCCTTGATCTTTTTCGGCACACTGTAGATAAATGCATCAGTCAATTTGCATTTTATGTCGTCAATATTCCTGCACCTTGAGAAAATAGAGTTTGGGCTCCCCATTGGAGAGGGTGGTTATAATTCTGGCAGTAACCGTCCAGGCCGAAGCTCCATAGCGATCACAGGAGTGAACTTGGGTGCCTGGGGGGAAGTCTAAAGCAATTGAGAAGTCAGCCCAAGACGTATTTTCTGGAAGATGAAGGGGGAACTCACGGTCAACTACTATCTGATCCAGTGGAAAGTCACCCTCGATATCTTGGCCTCTGCTTCGAGCTGGCGTGACCAAAGGCACGTTACCCACCGAAAACGTTGGGGGGGTCCATTCAGGAACAATCGTTTCAGATATTGTTGACATGATTATAGTAATAACAGTAGGCTGAATCTTTTCAGGCAGGAATTGTGTGAACAAAGGATTTGTTAAATACACAACAAAAAGGCCTAGTGATATACCCCGTACGAGAAAACCGTAAGTTAAGCAAAGCCCTTGGACGGCCCCAGCGGCCTTGGTCCTGCACGCAACCGTGGACAGCGCCTTGCCACGTAATACAATAACTTTCAAACCAATGATAATGAGATAGAAGGCGCTTGATGAGGGTTGATATATAATAGATGTGATGAGCGGGGGACGGAATGTCGGGGATTGGATGCCGCGTGACGGCTCCTACCCTTGTACATAATCAGCCACCACAGCCTGTGCGCAGACTGATTTGGAGAGGGAAAAAGCAAGGATGATTGAATCAGTCCAGTGACCGCAAGTCATGAACTAAAAGCAAATACGGGGGCCGACCTGTTGAGCCGCAAGTTGTTCTCGGAGGTTCCCAGAGTTACAAGCCCCCCAATCTGTTTCCCTGCAATACTTTCCATCTCGAAGACAAGCGGAAAGAGAGATGCAACTGTTCGAACTTTGCCACAAATGTCGAACAACCATCTGGATAAATGGGTAGGTGAAGACATGGCAGAACAAGGATATTTTCAGCTAATATGATTCTAACCTGCCTATAGATTCCTTGGAAGAACTCAAAGACCTCACCTGACGAGGCAGCTGCAGAAGGCCAGAATGTGACTCCTTCCCCATCCGATACCTCTGAAATACTGTGGTCTCCCGGTGAGCTTGGTGATTTACCACAACCCCCAACGGAGTTGGACCGAAAGCCCTCTCTGGTTCGGACTATCCGAGCAACGTCGACATTCGGACTCCCCACGCGGAATTCGTCAGTGTCCACCAATCGACGCAATGACCCTCTCGGCCTGACTGTCGTCTATGATCCAGAATCATCGCCTTCTCTTGACATTATTTTTGTTCATGGTCTGGGCGGTACCAGCAGAGCTACGTGGGCACGAGATCGAGATCCAGAGTACTTCTGGCCAGAGAAATGGCTTCCTCTAGAGCCCGGGATTCGAAAAGCAAGAATCTTGTCCTTCGGCTATAACGCAAGCTGGGCATCCACCGGTCCAGCTCCCATTACGGGCATAACCGACTTTGCAAAAGACTTGTTATATTCGATGAAGTTTGCCAAGGGTGAAAGATTGGAAGAACTTGAACTGGGCCAGGTAAGTCCTCGAACTTTCCTGTTCTATTTCTAAAGAGATGTTCATATTTTGCATCACTAGAGACCAATTATCTTCATTGTTCATTCCATGGGGGGCCTAGTCGTTAAGCAGGCGTATATCCTTGGTCAAAACGACGATCAGTATTCGGAGATCGTATCATCGATCAGCGCGATACTATTTTTGGCGACTCCACATCGCGGATCTAACCTAGCCGAAATCTTGAACAAGATCCTGACGGTGTCACTGTTCAATCATAGTCCCAAATTATACATAGCGGAGCTGCGTGCCGGGTCACAGACTGTAGCAGCTCTGAACGAGCAATTCCGTCACATCGCTCCAAATCTGGACATACTTTCATTCTACGAGACTCTACAGACTTCAATTGGTCCGAAGAAAATGGTATGTAAGACTCCACCGTTACACCTTGACTCTATACGTGCTGACTCGCCGGAGATGGTGGTCGAGAAAGAATCAGCTACTCTCGGGTATCCGAAGGAGATTTCAAAGGCTCTGGCTGCCGATCACCATACGGTCTGCAAGTTTGATAGCACCCAGGACTCTAATTACATCAGTGTTAGGAACGCTTTGAAAACTTTGGTCTCATCTATTCGCTCGGCAGGTGAGCCAGCTTGAGCTTGTCCACGGATGTCACTGATATCTAAGTATATACTAATCTGGATCTAACAGGACAATCTTTATTTGGAGAGCAGGGGGGAACAAAGCTTGAACAGTTGCAGACTATGTTGGCAGTGTCAGAGACCTTTAGTGAAGATCTTGACTTCTTTCATGCCAGGTGGACTCCTGGAACCTGCGACTGGATTATCGCTCATCCATCCTTCACTCGTTGGATGGATCCAGCTGAGGATTCCCCGACCATGTTGTGGTTGCACGCTTTACCAGCGAGTGGGAAATCTGTTTTATCGGCCTTTGTTACACATAAGCTCTTAGAAGAGTCTGTTTGTGTGTACTATTTCTTCCGATTCAGTGACGATTCCAAGCGCTCGCTGAGTGCCTGCTTGAGGAGCATTGCTTTCCAGATTGCAAAGCAGCTGCCCGGATTTTGCCGCGCATTGAAAAATATGCCTTCTGCCACAAAAACGTTGGAAAAAACGGACTCGAAGGCCATTTGGGAAAGGATATTTGTTCAGCTGCTGTTTAAAATAAGGTTTTCTACAACTATCTACTGCGTTATCGATGCACTGGATGAGTCCGACAACCCACAGCAGCTGGTAGAGTTGATGCAGAGTGTCTCGCATTCATTGACGCGCATCAAGGTGATCCTTGTCAGTCGGCAAACACCGGGGCTCATTATAACATTTGACCGCTTGTCGACTGTGGCCTCGGTTGCATACTTACCACTGGAGAATACCAAAAGTGACATAAGGCTGTATGTCAAACGGGAAGTAGAATATATGCGTGCCGCGCCCGAATTCAAAGCGCGACTGGTGGACAAAATGGTGAAATGCGCGGATGGAAACTTCCTATGGGCGAGTCTTGCGATGCGTGAAGTGGCTGAGTGCAATACAGAGGAGGACATCGACGAAACGCTGGGTGGCATCCCTGGTGGCATGGAGCAGCTATATCAACGGATGGAGCGCACAATCATCGCGAACACAAAACCACGCAACCGGAAACTGGGACAGAGGATTTTGATGTGGGCCACGTGCTCCCGAAGGCCATTGGTCCTCAGTGAGTTGGCAAAAGCATTGGAGCCGGACTTTTTGCCGATGGTGGAGATGAGCCTCCTCATCAACCGTGTCTGCGGGCAGTTTGTCATCGTTGACTCTGCCACTAGTCGATTAGTGATGGTCCACCAGACCGCGAGGGATCATATAGTGGCGACAGACTCAGAACTAGGAGTCAATGTACCTGAAGGTCATGAGAAGTTGTTGACCAAGTGCCTGACTGTCTTGGAGGAGAAGCACCACCAACCTCGAGATCTGCATCTTCAGCCTGGAAATCGGAAAGGCAGCCTGAGGGGAGAGTTTTTCTACTATGCAATGACCTCGTGGGCATATCACTTGGATAAAGTATCTTCTGATTCAGATGCACCGCTACTCCTTTTAGCCAAGTTCCTTAATGGAAATCACGTTCTAGACTGGATTGTGGCACTGGCTGAAGCGAAGAAACTGCGGGTTCTCGTGTCTTCCGCAAAGAGCATGAATTTATACGCTCGCCGGAAACGAGGCCGCAATGCTGTGACACATCCAATGGTTCATCGGCTTCAAGAACTCGACTTGGTGGAATCATGGGCAACAGACTTGCTCAAACTCATTGGGAAGTTTGGACTGCATCTGACTGAGTCCCCTACCTCTATCTACCAGAAAATCCCGCCATTCTGCCCAAAGTCCTCGATGATATACCGACAGTTCCAGCAATTCGCTCCCCGTCCATATTCCCTGGTGGTCAATGGACTATCAAAGGCCACGTGGGATGATGGCCTAGCAAAGATCTCCCTTCAACCGGCAACTCAGGGTACCATACTTATCTGTGCGGGAGACCATTTTGCTGTGTTAACCAAAGGAGGAGTAATCACTTTGTACAACTCTACAACTTTCGAGACTATGCATGTGCTAAGACACACGGAGGAGGTTTCTGCGATGAGTTTCAGTCGCGGCTCTCATCTTCTCGTGACATACGGCCACCGGACGACAAAGGTCTGGTCCGTCCATTCGGGAGAAGTCATGCACCGAATCAAAAACCCCATCGGGAGCACGGCCATGGCCATAGTATTCTCCACCGGGGATACCCAGATTGTCATCGGATCAACGGATCGACTCCTCAGAGTTGCCCGGTTGACGGACCAAGTTCCCGTCTGGTCGATTTTGCATTCCAACCTTTTGAAAAAGGACACAGCTCTGGATAGGCCTGTGCACAACGTTCCTTGGCATATTTCATTCAATTCTAACGCGACCTGTGTAGCTGTCGCGTATCGCGGTTCTCCTCTATGTGCCTGGTCCCTCGAAACAGCGACGCTCCTGGGACGATGTATGCGCGATCATGAATATGCAGGGAATTCCTGGTCTGTTGTGGACCAGATGATATGGCATCCCAAATCTCAGGAAGTTCTCGGTGTGTACATGGGAGGGCAAGTATTCAGATGGGACCCGTACAAGAATAGCCAGCAGGAGCTGGAGGCCGATGCAAAACTTCTTGCATGTAGTCCCGAGGGCAAATTCTTTGCGGTAGGTGACAGGCAGGGGGCAATCAAGCTGTATAACTTTCATCATTTCACCCTGATCTACAAGCTGTCCTGCGATGATATGATCAACCATATCTGCTTCAGTCCAGACAGCAAGCGATTATATGACCTCCGTGGCCCATGGTGCAATGTTTGGGAGCCAAATGCATTACTTGCAGGGGATGAGAACGGCGAGGATAGTGACCTTGGGAGTGAGGCGGCCAGCATTCCATCGGCCATTGTCTCCGAGGCTTCTGCAGAGGTACGGGCACAGATAACCGCAATTGCTGTTCAACTTGGAGGGCGATATCACGCTGTTGGGGATGATGTTGGAGTTGTCAGCGTGATAGACACCTCGGATGACGAGCATGTGACATCTGAGCTCTGGAGATCACCTTTGCGCCTACCAATCGAACATTTAGATTGGTCTTGTGATGGAAGATTCCTAGCCAGTATCGAGATGGCAGGGAGGGTCGTCGTGAAGGAGATCCACACAGGCAGCGACCGAACTTGGACTGTTAGCCAAGCCTTTGAGGCGACAATAAATGTTAGTCCCGAAGGCGTTCAACAAGTCCTGCTCAATGGTAATGGGTCAAAAGTTTTGGTCAAAAACGGGCCTTTGGTCACCGTTCAACCGGTGTCCACTCAACCCAGCAGAGAGTCTCTCTCTATTACATCGCCACATACGAAGTGGGTCAACCATCCAACAGACTCAAAGCTATTATTGTCTTTCAGCCCCAGTTATACTCGCGTCTACAAATGGGACGATCTTTCTGAAATTGCTGTCATTGTTCTGGAGAGACCACCATTACTCTCGGAGCTAGATCTAAAGGTCACTCCAGTTACTGTCGAAGCCAACCAGCATGATGAAGAAAACGCCAAAATCCAGCGCATCTGCCACACGCACTCAGGCTCTCAATTCCTTATCCACACCGTCATTTTGACCAACGGTCGCAGAGAAACCGTCACGTTGCTGTTTGAAACATCTTTGCTGTCCCGACTGTCAACCACGTCAACCATACCTCCGTCGATCGAGACACCTATGACCATCCCACCGGAAATCCAGCGCCTGATTGAAATTCCACTTGGAATCCTCCCACGTGAACGCCTTGTGTTCCTTGACAAAAGCCACTGGGTATGTTCTTGGAGTCTCGGTTCCAGATTCACCCCGGACCAGGTGCAGCGGCACTATTTCCTCCCCAAGGATTGGTTGAATGTGGAATGTTTGGAGTTGTGCGTCTTGCTTCCAAATGGTGTGTTTTTGATTCCGAATAATGGCGAGCTGGCTCAGGTTACTAGCACTGGGTTATCCCATGGGTGATTTCTTTGAAGAGAAAATTGCTTCTAGATTAGAACACGACGAGAAAGTATTGAGAAACCTAGCCAGTGTGTCCTGTCATAGATCTAAACGTCACTGTTTCTCTCCCCTTTCTCTTGTGTTTCTTCCTCGCGCGTTGATCTTTTAATCTTTATTCCGATTGAAGTTGATTTTACTTGAAATGTAAATTCAAATTAGACATTCCTGCACAATCGAGATGCATATTTAGATGCATAAACTAAACCAAAGCATTCTTGTAGAATATATTCGATCGCCGATCACCACTTTGACCCGAGGCAAAGCCCAAGAACAGACGGACTTCCCCGGCCTCAGTCTTATAGATGGCCAGTCCTTCAGGTTCGCGGAACGATAGTGTTGATCCGGCTTTTGTAATGAGAGGACCTTGGACAACAGATCCAGTATTCATGTTGACAGCGGTCACATCCGAATTGACCTTACCATCGGTGACATCATAAGAATTGCCGTACAATAGATAGATATACTGGCCATACGCCGCATACCCCTGGAATGTATCCGATGCCGTGTCCAACGATGGATGCTTGAAATTTGCGAGAGGGTTGGAGAAATCCCCATCCGTTGCCTCATCCAAGTTGAACACAGAAATGTGTTTACCATCACTGAGGTTGGCGCGGACAATGAGACGGTTGCTCACAGGATCAATGGAGCAGGTATGCTCTGTAGCACTAGCTATAGGGGCGAATTTCTCAAGCGAGGAGGAGGACGACGAGAGCGTAGTTCCGCTAACAAACTTGAACCGAGCAAGTTTCTTGCCGTATCCATTCGAATTGGCCTCTACTTCCGTCCATAGGTAGGATGATGAGCCGACTGCTTGAACACCAAAGGAGACGCCATGACCAAAGCTCTTTAAATGCATGTATCCCACGTAGTTGCCGTTGAAGTCAAGCTGGGTAATGCATAGGTCACCTGCAGTCTCGGAGGAACCATCACGTCGCTGGGTGACAAAAAGTCGGCGATTGGTATTGTCAAATGCGAAGCCTTGCTGTACAGTCACATCGTGCAGGGACTTGCTGCGGAAGAGGTCGTATGAAGGCTTTGATAGATCAAATCGCTGAGACGTAGGAATCGTCGCTTGCACAGGCTGGATATTGAACACCAGAACAATCAATCCAATTATAAGCGCAGCTGGCTTAAAACCCCATGTCCAATGTTGGGTAAAAATCATGGCGAGAGTAGATTTATTAGCAAAGATACGACAATAAGTGGGCAAGTCAATACTTGTGGTATTTATAGAGAGGGGCACCGGACGAAGTACGGAAGGCCGAGAAGATCTTTCTCAAATAGGATCTTGGCCCTCTCGTACTTCATATTAGGTCTGACACAGAAGAGCCTAAATACGAATCTGACTTGAAACTAGGGCATTGCCGAACATGCACGTTTGACTCCGAGACCCCTTTCCGTCCAGATGGTTGCCAATTGCCAGTTATTTGTTTAGGTGGCGCATTGTCGGAGACGAGAAAAATATATTTCTATCTAGCTAACTAGGGGAGCTAAAGCTAAAGAGGGTGATCATAGCTCATAACAAATCCCCCACTAAAAAATCGGACCAAAATCGTCGTTGGTCAAAGAATAAATGACGAAGTGAGAATGCATCCATCGCAGTCTGAGCTGCCAGAAAACACAAAGAAGGCAAAGAACGCGATGAAAGAAATTGCAGACAAGGGGGTCTCAAGTAAAACTGTCTGGTCCTAGATATCGACCATATTTAAATGTAGATAAACAATTCATGGTTGCTCTAGTCGTCATCGGACGAATCGTCCTAGACTCCTCGGCCGACTTGACTGCATCGGTCTGTTAGGGAGACTCTCTTGTAGATGGACGATTGTCCATGGATTCCATTCCACCATTCGGTTGGAGGTGGTCGAGGTAATCGAGGTCGTCAAGGTTATCAAGGCCGTCCAGGTCGTGTTCGTTGTTGATTTCATCTCCGACAGCCTTATCTGATTGTTCAAGGGTCTCTTTGGCAGTGAACATCGAACCTGTTGTACTTGTGGAAGTTGCCACCTCATCATCGTCATCGTTGTCATCTGGGACAGTGGTGAGCCCAGTCATGGTGGCTGGTATGATGGCATGCGAGGGAACTAAGTCGACCTGTTGTGTGGGAGCCTCTTCCCTTGACACTAGTAGACGGACTTCATCTAGCACCGGTCGAAGTGAGCACTTGATATAGTCATCGTCCTCCGCGTTGATTCGCTTGCTGATGCCGGCATATTGTATGTCGTAGGCAGCTTGGCATATAACCAGATCTCTGTGCATTTGTATCATGTGGCTGGTCCACAGAGTGTGTTTGGGTTTCAGATTGCAATCTCTCCACGTATAGTTGATTCTCGTGTCTTCATATGCTTGTCGAATCATCCTAATGTGCTTTGCTTTGGTCGCAATCCGATCGATAGCGTCACAATTTCTCAAGAAGCCATCTTTATACTTTCCGGGGCCATGTCCGACACGTCATATCGGGGGCATCATCGGCGTTAGAGTCGTCCTCAGTCGCTTCGATGGGCCTTCGTCTAGCTCAACCCGTTGGCGCTTGGTGGTCATTGTGGTTACAGGCGAGAAATGGCGCGTGAAGGCAGTAAAGCAACACGAAATGAGAGAATTGGGTGAATTGAGTGAATAGTGATAGCAAGACTGTGGGTTGAACGTAAAGTATGCATAAGTGCACTGGTGAATTGGTACTTGGTGAAAGATAAGAGTGGAAGTGAAACACAAGTGAAGTCAAGACAAGAATGCTGGTTTAGTTATCACACTGCGGGTTGTTGCTTATGAGCAAGGAAGTCGACCCTCTTGACAATGTTTGGGATTGTCCCTCGTACCTTTGATCTTCGTATGCCTCAATCAACTTCCGGGGGTGGATTGGCGCATGTGCTGATCTCCAGGCATCCCAGGACCTCACTTGTGACGGATGTACTTCACTGCCGCAATGGGCTCGCGAGTCATGTAGATCCAGCGCCTTGAACTTTCCAGACTACGCTTTACAACATACCGATATGGCCAGACCTACGGAGATTTAAGTCGGATATCATATATTGATCATAATGCAGCTGGGATTGAAAAACAAAACTAAACAGTATGAAAAGACATGGAGACCGCAATCTCAAAATGCCGGAAATGACCATCATTCCAGCACACACAACGAAAATCCGAACATGATACCCATCGCTGCAATTCACAATTGTTCTGATTTCAAAATCCATCCAAGGAAAATATCCTAATCCGTATCTCATTAAGGCATATGATCTTCATAAAATCATGAGAAGCATCGCGCGTAAAAAAAAGCAAAAAGTCAATATAAAACAAAATCAAACGACGTAAGGCGCAGGTCTGCGACTGGAGCTACGATGACGCGAGTGCGAGCCAGATCCATGACCGCGACGACTGGAATGACTGCGTCTCCGAACAGTGGTCTCCTTAACAACAGTCCGGCTTTTATCATGCGAGTGGTGCAAGAACAGCGCAAGCAACGCAGTCCAGAAGAAGAATGCGGTTTCCATGATACCAATTGCGAAGGAGGCCTTCAGCATGGCGCAAGTCTTGTTGATATCCAGCGATAGCGGGTTATCTGTGCGCTGGCCGTATGACCCGAATGGACCCAAGGAGATCCAGACGGAGCCGCCATGCCAGTTGGCACAGTCGGCGTTGGCAATGAAGCGGAGCTGGTAGACGGCTGCAATGAATGCGCCAAAGAAGAGCATGTCCACAAACGCCACAAAGACTGCAGATCGCTTTGTTGTGGAGAAGCGAATTAGCGTGTCGAGGGCCCAGAAGATGGCGATTACGCTGACGATAAACAGGACCAGGATATAAGATGGCGTCAACTCGTTTGCTTTGAGGTAACCGTTCACAAAGTAGGCCTAAGTTCAGAGAGATCTTGGTTAGCGGGAGACTCGGAGGGGTATTGCTGATCGGACTGGTTAACACTGGAGGGGCTTACCAGCATGCCAATGATTGGGATCAGGAAGACGATCTCAACCAGGCGGTTGAATATGAAGAACACACTGCCAATCATCTTGTCGGCTTTTCAGAGAGATTGGGTTTGAGATCTCTGGAATGTATGTCCCGATGTGCTTGGTATGTCAGATGTACAGTACAAGATCGGGGCTACACGAGCTTGCAAAGAAAGCACAGGCAGTTGCGATTACAGTGCAGGATGCACGGGGTAGAAGATGCAGAAGAATATAAAAGTGAAAGTTAAAAAAAAAAGGAAATCAGCACAAATAAGAGAGGGGGAAATTAGAAAAAAAAAGATGTTCCGCGACATCTTGGGCTGAGGAGGCTGGGCGACTCACAATCCACGATGTGGGTGGCTGGGATAACCCGAGTCTTCCAGGTCTCGACACTTTTATATTGATTAGCCTAGGCACCATGAGCTGTCCCGTTTTAATCTATGTCTTGCATTTGATTGACCCCGTAGATAGGATAGAGGTTAGGGCACGAGGGTATAGATATGCCAACCATATTTAAGTGGAGACAGTGCTGGAGTTGTCACCCACGACTTTTACAAATATCACAGATTTAGGTCTTGTACCGGAAATACCGGACTGTATTGTACTGGCCGTACCTTCCCAATTACTCCGTACCGGATTGTAACTTACCTCTCCTTTCCCGGGGTCACCTGATCGTGAGGCTGAGAATTTCCCCTTTCTGAGGCCTAGGGTCTCGACTCCATAGTATGATACCGAACGAACAAGATATCTTACAGCAAGCGATAGGTCAATAGGTCCAGATTTACCAGATTCTCGACGCTCATAACCCAGCATGCCCACCGAGAAGTTCAACAATCATTCATATAACAGCTGCAAGTCTCGTTGATATCATAGAGCGTGTGTCTTGAATAGGGAGGACGTGGCAAGGAAAGACGGACACGGAAATACAGCTTTCCATTTAGCAGCGGATTGTGAAGCAGCAAATAAGGGACGAAAAACGCCATTAATTGAAGCGCCTAGCTGTGGGCATGTGGGATTTGTTGAATGGCTCCTGCTGAAAGGTGCGAAGTTTAAAGCCATAATGGGTAAAGGCGAATACGATAATGCCCTACGGGCTGCTGTATACTGGGAGAAGAGTGAGATCGTGCAGATGCTCCTCGACGCTGGCGCTGATGCCAATGCTGAGGGTGGTGAATACGGCAATGTCCTACAGGCTGCTGCATACTGGAAGAGGAGTGAGGTCGTGCAGATGCTCCTCGACGCTGGCGCCGATGTCAATGCTGAGGGTGGTGAATATGGCAATGCCCTACAAGCTGCTGCATTCGGGGAGAGGAGTGAGATCGTGCAGATGCTCCTCGACGCTGGCGCCGATATTAATGCTCAGGGTGGTCAATACGGCAATGCCCTACAGGTTGCTGCATTCGGGAAAAGCAGTGAGGTCGTGCAGATCCTCCTCGACGCTGGCGCCGATATTAATGCTCAGGGTGGTCGATACGGCAACGCCCTACAGGCTGCTGCATACGGGGAGAGTAGTGAGATCGTGCACATCCTCCTCGCCACTGGCGCCGATGTTAATGCTGAGGGTGGTGAATACGGTAATGCCCTACAGGCTGCTGCATACGGGGAGAGGAATGAGATCGTGCAGATGCTCCTCGACGCTGGCGCCGATATCAATGCTCAGGGTGGTGAATGCGGAAATTCCCTACAGGCTGCTGCTATACGCGGGAAAAGCAGTGAGATCGTGCAGATCCTCCTCGATGCCGGCGCCGATGTCAACGCTCAGGGTGGTGTCTACGGTAATGCCATACAGGCTGCTATATACGGGGGAAGCAGTGAGATCGTGCAGATCCTCCTCGACGCTGGCGCCAATGTTAACGCTCAGGGTGGTGAATACGGTAATGCCCTACAGGCTGCTGCATACGGGGGGATGGGTGAGATCGTGCAGATCCTCCTCGACGCTGGCGCCAATGTTAATGCTCAGGGTGGTGAATGCGGTAATGCCCTACAGGCTGCTGCACACGAGGAGAGGAGTGAGGTCGTGCAGATCCTCCTCGACGCTGGCGCCGACGTCAGCGCTCAGGGTGGTGAATATGGCAATGCCCTACAAGCTGCTGCATTCGGGAAAAGCAGTGAGGTCGTGCAGATCCTCCTCGACGCTGGCGCCGATATCAATGCTCAGGGTGGTCAATACGGCAATGCCCTACAGGCTGCTGCATACGGGGAGAGTAGTGAGATCGTGCACATCCTCCTCGCCACTGGCGCCGATGTCAATGCTGAGGGTGGTGAATACGGCAATGCCCTACAGGCTGCTGCATACGGGGGGAGGAGCGAGACCGTGCAGATCCTCCTCGCTACTGGCGCCGATGTTAATGCTGAGGGTGGTAAATACGGCAACGCCCTACAGGCTGCTGCATACGGGGGGAGGAGTGAGATCGTGCAGATCCTCCTCGCCGCTGGCGCCGATGTCAATGCTGATGGTGGCGAATACGGTAATTCCCTACAGGCTGCTGCATACGGGGGGATGAGTGAGATCGTGCAGGTCCTCCTTGACGCTGGCGCCAATGTCAATGCTCAGGGTGGTGAATACGGCAATGCCCTACAGGCTGCTGCTGCATCCGGGAAAGGCAGTGAGATCGTGCAGATCCTCCTCGACGCTAGCGCCGATATCAATGCTCAGGGTGGTGAATACGGCAACGCCCTACAGGCTGCTGCATTCGGGGAGAGTAGTGAGACCGTGCAGATCCTCCTCAACGCTGGCGCCGATATCAATGCTCAAGGTGGTAATTATGGTAATGCCCTACAAGCTGCTGCATATGGGACAAGCAGTGAGATCGTACAGATCCTCCTCGACGCTGGCGCCGATGTCAATGCTCAGGGTGGTGAATACGGTAATGCTCTACAGGCTGCTGCTGTATACGGGAAAAGCAGTCAGATCGTACAGATCCTTCTCGGTGCTGGCGCCGACGTCAATGCTCAGGGTGGTGAATACGGTAATGCTCTACAGGCTGCTGCTGTATACGCCAAAAGCAGTCAGGTCGTACAGATCCTCCTCGATGCTGGCGCCGACGTCAACGCTCAGGGTGGTTTCTACGACAATGCCCTACAAGCTGCTGCTGCTACATTCGGGGAAAGCAGTGAGATCGTACAGATCCTTCTCGACGCTGGTGCCGATGTTAACGCTCAGGGTGGTGTATGCGGTAATGCCCTACAAGCTGCTTCATACGAAGAGAGTAGTGAGATCGTGCAGATCCTCCTTAACGCTGGCGCCGATGTTAACGCTCAGGGCGGCCAAGCCGGTAATTCCCTACAAGCTGCTGCTGTTGCACACAGGAAAAGCAGTGAGATCGTGCAGATCCTCCTTGACGCTAGCGCCGACGTCAACGCTCAGGGTGGTAAATTCGGCAATGCCCTACAAGCTGCTGCATACGGGGAGAGCAGTGAAATCTTACAGATCCTCCTCGACGCTGGCGCCGACGTCAACGCTCAGGGTGGTAAATACGGCAATGCCCTACAAGCTTCTGCTGCGTTCGGGAAAAGTGCTCTGTTCGGGAAAAGCAGTGAGATCTTACAGATGCTGCTCGACGCTGGCGCCGATATCAATGCTCAGGGTGGTAAATACGGCAATGCCCTACAAGCTGCTGCTGCATACGGGGAAAACAGTGAGATCGTACAGATCCTCCTCGACGCCGGCGCCGATATCAATGCTCAGGGTGGTAAATACGGCAATGCCCTACAGGCTGCTGCATACAGGAAAAGCAGTGAAATCTTACAGATCCTCCTCGACGCTGGCGCCGACGTCAACGCTCAGGGTGGTAAATACGGCAATGCTCTACAAGCTGCTACATTCGGGAAAAGCAGTGAGATCGTGCAGATCCTCCTCGACGCTGGCGCCGACGTCAACACTCGGGGTGGTAGATATGGAACATCTCTCTTGGCGGCTGTTTATCAGGGCCATGCTGATTTAGTTCAGATGCTTCTTCGCGCTGGCTCGAATGTGTCGTTTGTAAATGAACTTGACCAGACTCCTCTTCATATTGCCGCCTTGAAAAATAGGCTCAACCTTCTCCATCGGTTCCCGGAGCTCCTCTCCCCTATTAATACCCGGGACAAGCTTTTACAAACCCCCATTCATCTGGCTATCTATCTCGGTCATATTAAATTTGCCATAAATCTCCTTCACTTTGGTGCCAATCCTTCTCTTCTGGATGGTTATGGCAGAAATGTCCTGGACTGGGTAGTTGGAAATGAAAGCCTAGTGCACCAAATCCAAAGCCACTACCCTTCAATTATTGCGACGCCTAATAATACTCAAGAGCTTGCTGTTCGCCAATCCATCCTTCAAATCTACGATACGCTTCTTCAGTCCCAGCTACACTTCCCATGGCCACTTTTACAGCAATTAGGTCGCTACCTACTATTTGTCGGAGATATAGACAATGCCCAATGTCTATTTCAGCTGCATTTGTCTCAGGAGACTTTCATTGGCACCCCCATATATAAGACTACGTGTAGCCTTTGTACACGGGTTATTAATGGCTCTCGCTTTGTGTGTAGAATCTGCGCCCATATGGATCTATGCTCGTCCTGCATGCAGAAGTATCCGTTCCACAGTCGATTACACCTAAATCAAGAGCACAAGACTTTTGAAGTGTCACATGTGCTTGATCGAGAGTCTCCGCTCACTACGTCAGCATCGGAGAAGTTGAGAAGACTCATTGACAAGCTTTCTGCGTTAAATGCCTATGGAAGTGGGAAGGGGCCATCATATGATTCCGTGGCTTATCTGCCATCCAAAGTCACAGCACCCAAAATGACAGCTGTACTTCCAATGGCTCTTCTAGGCCCAATCTCTATGTTCTGTCTTCTTTCGTTTGGGCTTCTAGCAGCTTCATTTACATACTGGTATACCTTGATCTAATTGAACATATTCCTCACCTCGCCGTCTCTAGTTTGTTAGCATTAAAGAACTCTGGTACACAGGTACCGTACCACATTAATCTTCTATATAGCTATCGTAAGAAATGTAGTTTTTGGAGTTCATCTGAATATCATTGTCTTTTTAGTATTCTAGCTATTTAAGTAGGATTACTCATAGGGAACGTATTGTGTAGGATAAAATGCTGCAACGTAGTTCACATGCGAGCTGCGTAGCGGAAACACCTACAACTTATATCTCAGCTATCAAGGTTTTTTTTTTTTTTTTTTTTTTTTTTTTTGCCGATAGCCATTGATAGGCACTTTTAGTAGCGTATATCAATTTTAAGTAGATTAAAAACTTCCATAAGTGTAGTATTGAAAAATATATCGCTGAACTCCAGAAATATATATCTCTCCATTACTCATTTATTAAATCCCCCTAAACTTTATATACTAGCTAAATATCATATAAAAAGCATTAGGCTATAAGGAAAAGTTCCTATAGACAACTGTTGTTGCAATATCTAATTGTAATTTATTGCATTTACTATGTGTACTGGACTGCGCAGCTCGCATGTGAACTACGTTATATATTAACAACACGGAGGTACTAATATCCGGCTGCTCTCGATATAGCGTAGGACTTGGCGCCAAGGCTTGATAAAGATGGAACAGTTTGGGCAGTGACACCGATTTCCGGAAGGACTGTACAAATTACTTCTGTTTAAAGAGATATCAGACTGTTCAATCTAGGCTGCCTCTCAGGGGCAAAAATTCATGTTTGTTTTCAACGCCAATACGTTCATAATCATACTAGTACAGAGTTGAATTCACCATCCACCGCAATAATGCATCGCTTAATCAAATCATAAGCAAATAACTTCGGGCAAATACCGCTCTGGACTAGACTGAAATCATCAATAACGCATCGCATCATTTATCTTTAGATCGCCCGACCGGGCATGTCCGTCAACGGACGCCCAGGACCCGCCATCGCGTCAGTAGCATATATTCCCGTATCAGCCGTCAGCGGTTGTGTCTGGGACACATATGCATTACTGGGGTCATATTGAGGCGCATGGTGACCGGCACCGGTATTCTGCCCTATAGTATGACCATGTCGCATCTCATACCCGTTGGTAACGTCATCCTCACTCGACGACCAAGCACCACCATCGGCGTCATTGTCGTGCGGGCGGCGATTATACACATTGGATGTGTATGGGTTGGAGGACTGAAGGTAGGTAGATGCGGTGGGTTTGGCATGTTCCGATCTAGGGAGATCTGGCGGGTCCATGCGCTCTTCTTCTTGGTTGCGGAGCGCCGTCGAGCTCCCGCCTTTGGAGCCTATAAATCGAACGGTATCGGGTCCTGCAGGATCAGCCCCCCAGGTTCGGATTGGGTAGGCGCGACCCTTCTGCCAGGCTTCGGTGATCGGTGGGAAATACTGGCGATATGCGACAAAGCCGCAGACGATGCCAAGCATTGACCCCGTGATCACGTCAAAGGGGTGGTGGCGCGCGTCCATGATACGCGATACGGCCACGAGACCTGCTGCTAGTAGAGGAGCCATGACGAGAAGAGCCTTCCAGGCCTCGCCGCGATTGTCCATAATGTGCAGCTTTCCACCTAACCAAAGCGATGTGTAAACGAGACCAGCAAAGGAGGCTATTTATTGGAACGTGTTAGTGATATAAAACACCAGGCGAAGGGTAAAGGGATATACACACAGCTACTGTGGCCTAGATGAATCAAGGTTAACGTTTGCGACTCTCAAAAGCAGTGTTGGGATTATGGTCCATACCGGACGGCCACGACCGAAATCCATCTGTTAACAAGGCGGGATCACCTGTACAGATCGTTGAGTTCGACAATCCTGGGAACAGGTCCTTGCTACCAGGGCGTGGTTGACAACGATCGATGAGATCGGGTCTCGGCTTGCCACATGCAGTCTTCAGCGCCTGTGTGATGACAAACGCGAGTCCCTGCGCCAGCAAAAGTCCTAAAACACCACAATTGAGTTCCCAAAGTCTGTCCTTCCAGCGATGCGGACCTCTCAGCTTCCGCTTCCCAGACACTGCGTCCCGTGGTTTATGGTGCGAAAACAAACCATCGAGGACCAAGGTGTAAACTATAATGAGGGCGAGTGGAAAGGCAGCAGAGATGCAGAGGCAATAAGCCATGGGGATTCGTTCGTGTACGGCATAAGGATATTGGATGGAGATGTTATTGAGGGAGAAATGTTGGTGGAAGGGCTCGATCTTGTTGAGGATTGAGAAGGCGATAGCGCATGCACTGTTTTTGGGGTTAGCACGAAATAAACAGGGGGGGGTTGATATTTGTACATAATGATCACATAGTCAAAGATGTAGCTATGGAATTGTTAGTTGGGATTCGCGGGGGAAGCTGGGGAAACGCACGAGATAACAACACGCGGTCGGAGTCGCCGCTTGGAGAAAGGGAGTTTCGCAGGGATTTCCATGACTTCAGTACTTCCCCAGAAATTCGAAATGGAGAAGATCTGGAGCTGGGGAAAAAGGGAAATAAACATCTCTGCCTAATCAAAGGCATTTCTTGGCATCGGCATATTAATAGCCCTGGCGCATGCACCGTTCTAGGGTATCTGATTGGCTTCCATTATGTTAAAACTATAGTGAAATATAATATTGTATTATTCACATATATGCGTACATATTACATGATGAAATTAACATCTAATACTATTTGATTTTTCTTCAATTAAAAGGGGACTTTTGCAGATCTCAGCCATACTGGACTAGTCCAGATGAGCTATATACGAAGAACAAGATCAAGATAAAATTAATGGAGCCCTTTGTCATCCAAGTTCGATATGGGGTAGTGGTTAACCTAGCGGATTTTCATCTCTTTATAAGACTGTCCTCCGCGGCCCCGGGTTCGATTCCCGGTATCGAAGTATCTTTTTGTTTTTATTCTGTCTAAATGACGTACGTGGTTTGCATGGAATTGGATAGGTTTTGATCAAGGCGAGTGTAATTAATGTTTTGGCGGATATGGACCATATCGAGATATGCATACCCTGTGGACTCATTCTACTTGAGATATTAAACTGAAGGAGTGAATTCAATATACTAATACACAAGCCGAAAGAACGTTGACGCTATGTGCATGCGCCTCAATTACAACATAAAACTAAATATGGCAATGTTTTCCAATCCACATCGGGTAGAGTCAGCTTTTTTGAAAGATTACTTCCCTATGCACACCGGACCAAAAAAATCAAACATGAGAAGATCAAGAAAATACGTATCGACGTAAAGGAGACATCAATGGGAGTTTACAAGGAATAGGAAATGGCCCTAGAAATCACACATCCATAGTTGCAAACTGCGAAATCGCATAGAGGTTCCTCATTTAGCAAGTGGTGATGTACAGACCGAGACTATAAAGGGTGTTAGCTGATATACAGACAAATGGAAAGTAGAAGAGCAAACTTACGGAGATGGGTTCCAGTCCTCGAAGAAGTTGAAGTCGGTGCTGCCAGCGTTCTTGATCTCATAGGTGACAGCCTGGCCAGCCGGGCAAGAGAACGTAGAGACAAGGTATGAGTTGCCAGGAGAGACAGTGATAGTACCAAGATCCTGGGACACCGAGGGCATGTTGCCGAAGTTTGTCGAGGAATCGGCAATGGAAGAGAGCTTTGCGAAATCAATCTTTCCATCGCCGCTGAAGCTGTAAGACGAGGTCTCGAGATCCTCAAGCTTGGGGAAGAGGAAGATAAGGCTGCAGGTCTTGCCGGCGTCGGCATTTGGGATATCGAAGTTAAACAGGGTCGACATGGTCGAGCTCACAGTACCGTTAAACCCAGTTCCTGCGGTAGTGCTAGGCGAGGAAGAGTCGACAGGAATGATAAGGTGAGGGATCTCGTAGTTACCCGAGAGATCTGTGGGACAAGCACCACCAGAGGTACCAGTGGCCGAGGGCTTGGAAGTGGCGGAACTAGCTGGAACGGATGCGCTGGCGGAGCCGGTTGGATGAGTGCCACCATCACCGGCGGAGATAGGAGGCACACTAATAGAGATGCCACCACCTCCGCCGCCGGTAGCAGAAACACTAGGAGAGGCACCGGGCTGTGAGGCACCGCCGCCACCGCTTGGAGCAGGCACACCGGGAGAGGGACCGGGTTGTGGAGCACCGCTGCCGCCACCACCGCCGGGAGCAGGCTGTGGACCAGAAGGCTTGGTACCAGTACCGCCAGATGGGGCAGGCGCACTAGAAGAAGGACTGGGCTGTGAAGCACCGCCGCCGCCGCCAGGAGCAGGCACACCGGGAGAGGGACCGGGTTGTGGAGCACCGCTGCCGCCACCACCGCCGGGAGCAGGCTGTGGACCAGAAGGCTTCGTACCAGTACCGCCAGATGGGGCAGGCATGCTAGCAGATGGTTGTGGCGCACCACCACCGCCGCCAACAACACCACCGCCACCAGGAGCACCGGAGGTAGGGCAGCTACAGTCTGTGACAGTGATAGTGACAGTTTGAGTGCCGGGAGTGGGAGCGGGAGCGGGAGCGGGAGCAAGACCAGGGCCTCCGGCTCCACTTCCAGTGCCAGGCCCTCCACTTCCAGTGCCAGGCCCTCCAGGGCCAGGGCCAGGACCACCAGCAGCAGCACCGGGACCAACAGGGCCAGGTCTAGCAGGGCCAGGACCACCACCACCAGCACTGGGACCAACAGGGCCAGATCCTCCAGCCCCAGGTCCTCCAGGTCCAGGTCCAGCAGCTCCAGGTCCAGCAGGACCAGGAGCACCACCTCCAGAGCCAGCACCACCAGCGCCGGGACCCCCAGGGCCAGTGCCAGCAGGGCTGGACTGAGGAACTGGGGCTGGCGGTGCGTTAGAAGCAGGAGGTACACCAGCCGGGGATGAGGCACCATTGCCGCCACCGGTGCCCGTATTCGAGCAAGCATCGGCAGACAATTGCACGTTCACACAACCAGTAACGTCGAGCTTGTTAGGGGTAGTGTAGACATTCAAGCCACCATTTTGGCCGGTGGCACAGGCAACGAAGTCGGGGCTGCTGCGGTACTCGAGTTTACCCTGTGAGTTGACAGAGAAACCAGGTGTAGCAGACACACCCTCGTCGCACTGCAGTTGAGTGGTGGGGGCTGTCATACAGTTAGATATACTTTCTTTGGTAGTTGATATAGAGGGAAGTAATTGGTTTACTTACGAGTGAGGATGCATCCACGGCCGCTAGAGTCGGTGATACCGCCATTGGAGTCGATGCAGTACTGTGCTGATTGTAGACTATCGTCACCAATGCGGTTCTGGCCATCACCCAGCTGGCCAAGTTTACCAGCCGCACCACCAGAAGAGGTGAGGTGGAAGCAGCAGCTATCACTGCGGCCAACGAGGGCATTGGAGCCGGCAGCAAAGGCAGCGAGGGTAATAAATTTCCTCATTATTGCTGTTCAGAGAACGCAGATGTGTTTTATCGACTAACGAATGAACACAGCGCCCTTTTTTTGAAGAAGATCTTGAACAACTGAACGATCTGATATCCACCAGTATACTTGTGGTCGCAGATATGTCTTTATTTAAGGACAAGACTTTAGGGGAGAGTAAATCTTTATAAGAAGTGGTGGGTTAAAGCTCAAACGAATCACGGGGAAATATCACAGACACACATCGGCAAAGGTCCCCGAGATGAAAACATAAAGAAACAATGAACATTGCATGCTGTCAGCCATTCATGCCGTTAAGCATGGGTGAGACCTCCGATGGACCAACTATCCTGGTCTCGGAGAGTAGACAATAGAAGGTCCGAACCAGCCGGAGCGAGATGCGTAGCAATCTGCACGACGTCATCTTGAACAGAGCTCCAATCCATTGAGATGTGGAGTAAGATGGAGTATAAAAGCGTGTTTGTTTCTCCACTTAAAATCAGCATCTGAAGTACGGACAACGGTGACTGGCTGAGTATGGGAGGCATGTGGGCTTACTATCCATGGTCTAGGCAGCCCGGTGGAAAGTGGCAACATATACTATCCCATGGATCATTGCCTCCTTGAGTCCTCCGAGAGGCTGAAATCATTCAATATTGGATGATGCGGACTAAGTCCCGTTGATATTACGAGGTAGTTGAGAGAATACAGGACAAGCTACTAATACTCCAGTTTTTAATCCAATACATATTATACTTATAAACAGTCCGCTGTGTGTTCTTGGATGGTTTGTATCTCAAGTGATATATACTACAAACTCCGAACTTGAACCATCACAAAACATGATTCGATAAGGTAAGACGCCATGGTCATTAACAACGGGATCTACGACTAGAGTCTCTTATAGGCTGTACATTAACATACATAGTGTATTGTAGTCTTTAGGCCATAAGGTTGGTAAAACTGTGACATATAAAAATAGTTGCTATGTATGTTGTACAAGGCGAACTGTGTAACACGGGTAGAGGCACATAAAGCACTACAATCATAAGTATGATGAAAGACGAAAAAAAGAAACCAAAGAGATTGGATCGGATTGTGTAAAGCGAACAGTTGATCATCATTGTACAATGGAAGTACCCAGGTGGAAGTGGACCCCGAACCGGCCAACAACAGCATCCGACTATTTTTATAACTATTCAACGGCACATTTACATAATCTCTGGAATTATTATCCACGTCATGTCTGATATTTGTACTATTATCAATATCGCGTACAAAGTACGATTTACAACTGATTTACTCCGCAGTGGATATGCGTAAGTTTCCACGGCGACGCATGTCTACATGAAAGCGTCCGATCTAGATAATTATCGTATAATAGGGCCCTAGATCGGAGATTGTAGAGCACCAATCCTTCCCTATGCCAAATATATGCTGTATAACATATTTTGTACCCATAGATTTATGATATGATATGGTAAAGGTCCCTGGAGGAGCTGACACAGAGGCAGTGCCCCCGTGAAAGGGCAAAGTGAAAATGTGCACAGTAACTAGGCAGCATTATTCCCTATTCAATCCGGTGCATTGATCAAAAAGCTGTATGGCTGGTACCAGAATAGGCCGCCGTGGATTTAATATTATGACATGGATTTGGATATCCCGGATTACCCCGGTTGGTATTGTATGCCAAGTTCAACTCGACATGCCATGTCAATCTCAATATGGGCATGGCTGGATAGCTAAAGTGGGGTCCAATGAACTAGTATACTGTCGAGATGATGAAAAGCTATACATAAAATCAATTGACATATCATGCGTCATAATGTCGCAGGTTCCAAATCCCAGTAGACCCATTCCTGAGACCGGTCTTCAATATTGAATTACTAGTAATATTACATAGACAAAAATGCAGTATCCAACTCAGAAACGAAGCTGCTCCAGTCCACTGTTCATGCCTGTTGAATACACCATGATTGTAAGCGCTCTCGAGTTGTAGGCAAGTCCCGGCGAAGCCTCAGGGTCTTGAGAGGTAGATTGCGTTGTTGACTTTTCGTCAACAGCTGAACCCGAGGCACTGTGCCGGTGAAGAGCCGTCTTGAAGGTCTCAAGCAACGTTCCTGCTAATAGGGACTCCTCTCTGACCGCTTCTAGTATTGAAAATGCCCCATAAATTTCCGTCATGTCCTTTTCCTGCGTATGACCACTCCCAAAAGAATCTATGAGAAGAACAATTATCGCCATGCAGACACAATGTAGCAAGGCTGAAAGTTTCAGCCGGGCTGAGACGAAAGGGATCATCTCTAACGAGAGTTGGCGCTCAGTTCGGACCACCATTCGGGCTGCTTCCAGGCATGCCTTCCGGGAGTAATCATACGTAGAATCCTTAGACGCTCGCGACAAATAAGGCAAGTGAAGCCTACACCTTTGGGCATGAAGCAGAAAATTGAGGATATATCGTTGTACGATTATTCCAGGAGATTCCCGAGGATTGGCTTCTGGTAGCTCGTCCGACCTATGGGCCAACGAGAAAAACGAGGGTATACTCTGGGCGAATTCGCAAATTTTGGCGTCAATCTGTTTCGTATGCGCATAGTTCGGGCTTCCTGGATCGGACATTCCAAATGGAGCACAGTCTGTGATTTCGCGGCAAACTCGCCTAATCGAATCAATTGGAGACAGTAGGACATCGATGTAGGGTGGGTGAGTGGCTTTCCAACTCCGACCATCCCGTCAACAATATCTTCATCATTCGCATTGCAAGGTTTGTTGGTCATCATGTGGCGTGGATTAATTGAATATGTGCCTTTCTGTGGGCCAGATAGTTGCGACATCTGCCTATTATCGATTGAACTCCCATTATTAAAAGAACATGAAGGAGAGGAGGAGAGAACTTACTAATCAGTAGCCACGAGATACACCCATACTCTTCTACATATCTCTGCTTTTGCAGAGGACGGCGTAGGTACGTCTAAGTTGGAATTGTAGGGATGGTCGATTCTATGCAAGGATAGTTCCCTTCTAACTGAGATGGCAGTGGAAATCATATGCCAGGCGAGGGATGTAATTCCCACGATATTCATGATCACAAATCCTATAATAATCATCGCCTGGATATCTTCTATTGACTCGGAGTGTTTGTAACGCGAGTAATCGACCACATCCATCGCAAGTCTCACCCAATGGGTAGACTGCCCAACTGCTTCTTCAACAGTCGAAAATATGGGGTTGCACATATCGCGTTCAGTCCAGAAGGACGTGGTACTAGCGAGAATGCTGAGAAGCAATGAAACGTACCCAATCTCGACTGGCTTGCTTTCTCTCAAGTCACAATAAAGTTCAGCCACCATAGTACGCACCGAGGGGACATGAACCACATGCTGGAGGAAGGTGATCTCTGTGATATACTTTTCCACTAGTATTTTCGCTTCGTCGTGGAGTGGCAGCCAGATACATCTTTTCGCAGAGTTGGCTTGATGTGCTATTGGTTCAGATCCTACTGCCGCACGAATGGGACAAGTCCTGAATTCAATTTTAAGCTTCAAAAGATTACTCTGAATACCTTTGTCAGCACTCGACTTTTTATAATTTAGATCCGATCAATTTAGGCCTACCGTGGAGCTTGATGATGTGATCTCGCTTTCGAGCATAGTCACAGCCTCTGCAGATAACTGCTCTTCATGAATAACGTATGATTGATTTGATTGTAGAGGAGGAGGAGGAGGAGGAGGAGGAGAAGGAAGTGACGAAGCCTAAGTAGAAGCTTGTCCTAGTGGACTAGACTCTGGAGCATCATTGGTGATCACTATCTTTCCAGCCTCCGCAAGTGGGCCAGTACATCTTATTGATAGTTATCCAAAACCAGTAGGCCAAAATGCAAATCCCTAGAGCTTAGGAAATAATAATAATAATAATAATAATAATAATAATAATAATAATAATAATAATAATAATAATAATAATAATAATAATAATAATAATAATAATAATAATAATAATAATAATAATAATAATAATAATAATAATAATGTGATATTCTTCCTCTATCCCATTCGCTTCTGTAACCTTCTTCTTGGCCCTTCAGTGGCAAGTGTAGCAAGTGTAGCAAGTGTAGCAAGTGTAGCAAGTGTAGCAAGTGTAGCAAGTGTAGCAAGTGTAGCAAGGGCAGCAAGGGTAGCACATAAATATTCCCCGGGCAAACTTAGCAAGAGACGGATGTCGAGTGGCGTGTTCTTTTCCGCGGCGAGAGGGACTTGCGAGCCCGTCGACCGATGGATTTTAGCCACTCGCGGCCTCTGCCACGAACTTCTTGGTCCTCAGATAGACGCTGCTGGTGAAACATCCGAACTGTGCTCATGAAATCCTCAATGGCTAAAATTATAGCACTTGTCTCACCTCTGGTTTATCAGCTTCCAAAAAGGCCGCGACCAAATAATGTAGTGGTCGGTAGAAAGGTGGCCCCTGCTCTCTCAAGCAAGGAATATCAAAAAAACCAGAAAGGGAGTTGTACATTTTCCGCCAACGTGCCTTCAAGTCAGGCATTGGCATTGTCTCCTGTTTCTGTTCAAGCCACAAAAACCGGTTCCACATGATGCAAATCTCGTTACCAGGAGCAGGAAGGTCAAACAACTCGAGAATGCAGTCTGCGAGAAGGGCTGCCTCCCACCTAAAGCGTATCGCCGCTTCAAACATCGGCGCTTTTTCCTGGAACATGTCACGCTCGTAGAATCCACGGAGCGTGCCTCCAAAGCCCACCTCCTTACCACGATCCCATTCACCGGGACAGGTTTGGTGGAAAGTTCTGGCCATGCCTTTTAGTCTTCTATGGGCCATATGGCCAGTCATTTCATCAATAACCTGGTTTCCCGATGCAGTTTTGTTCGGATCTTGCTCCAAAAATGTGGTGTTTTTCGGGTGTGGATTTCTAAGGTCCCTGATATCACTGGGCTCTTGATATGGATAAGAGGTAAGTGCATCCCACCGGTTCCTGAAGTGGAACAATGGGATTCCTGTTCTCCCTGTCCACGAGTATTCCCAGGCATCATCCTGGGCACCAAACTGGAAGTTTTGGGAGCTGCCGAGCCGTGTTATGCGATCTGCGCATGTACTCCAAACAGAATGGCAAAATGAATTATAGCTCAAAGTCTGAAAGCTATTGGGGTTATCTGGTTGAAGACTTTGCTGTGGGTCTGATAGGCTTGTGTCCAGACCACAATCTTCGAGAAGAGGACTTGTCGCACTAGACAAAGTCTCTAGCAGGGTGCTTACAAACACGGACCCGCAAGTTCGCCCAATGCTCTGGGATGCACCCCAGGCATTCGAAGTTCCGGCGGCTGGATCGTCGTTTCCGTCCGCAGCTGTCATAGCGGTGAGGTTGAGCTCGGGGGTGGTGATCCACCCTCCGGAATAACAAGCAGTGCTTAGGAGAGTCACACGCACACTTGGCTCAAGCACACCCTTGAGATTGACTATGCTGAGACCCTTGTGGCTGTTTCCATCATTCAACAAAAAGTGATGATTCGGTAGCCCATGGCAAAAGAAGAGTAGTAGAAGTGGCGCCTCATGCCGTTTCGCTAATTCTGACGCCCATTTTGCCTCTGAAAGAACCCGATCTATCATTTCACCCGAGCGAACGATGGTGACTGGGGTGATTTGCTGTTGGTCTAGCATGTCTTTATCGAGGCAGACCTTTCGATCCTCATACGGGTTGCCATGAAGGTATGCACCATACTTCTCCACTAATTTTCTTGGATCAGCTGCGGTTATCCATGTCTGATGCATGCCCAAGCCTTTCAACAGATAGTTAAAGGCATAAAAATCCGAAATGAACCAGCCATCGTCTAATGGATCTGCGGTCGAGACTGTGGGGTGGGTTGCCGCAAGAATGACGGTATTGTCAAATACACAAGGTACCGTCGACGAAACAAACGTGGAGGGGAGCTTGTCTGGCATTCGGGCATACCCGCCCATAACGAGAGGTTGCTTTTCTGGTAGAGTGGCCATGATGTTCGCTGTGCTACGGATATACGTCTACGGCTGTAATTCTCTACCCTGGAGTCAGCCTGTCGTAATTATTACTTGTTATTATGTAAATAACTCTCATTTTTGAAAGTTAAGTGGCTTGCTTATTATCCATGGATAAGTTCCAAAGTTTACATACTTAGGTAGCACTAACCTTGGGAACTAACTATGCCAAGACAACGGCCACGGTAGGCCTCCAAGGGACAATCACACGCTAAACCTAGTTGGACACATGGCTACTAGTCCTAATTAGATCTTTAAGGCTGATACGGAATCACGAGAACTATGTGAGAGACGCAAGGTATATAAGAACCTCTTTTCAATAAAAGATTCATAATAATCTATCAACTTGGCTTGCCTCTTCTCTCCTTCCTTTGACCCAAGAATATTCTTAAGTAACTTTTGCCAATATGGACTCCATAATTGCTCAGATCCAGGCTATCCCCCAAACACCGATGAAGCTGGCCGGTTGGACATCATTCAGTCTCTCAAACAAGTGACAAGAGAACTTCAATCTCCGAAAGATGCAATCATGAAGCTAGGAACACCGGTTGGTGGTCACATTCTACAAAATTCGGGGTTGCCCAAAGTGCTGACAGCTGTAGGGGCTAACAAATGCTATGCTTCGAATTGGTGCAGATATGGGACTCTTTCTCTCCCTCACGAGAAGTGATGTATCATTGACTACCATGCAAATTGCGGAGATCACGGGAGCATCTGCTCAATTCCTGGGTAATGGGCTTGGAGATGAGCATATTTACTTCAATTTCTAAAACACCTGTTCTGTCCAGAGAGAATTCTTCGTTACCTAGCCGCAACAGGCATAATCAAGGAGACCGGAGTCAATGAGTACACCGCAAACAGCATCACTCATGTTTTGGCTGACCCCAAGGGCGAGGCTATGATATACCACGGGTAAGCTATATAGTTAGTAGTTTCCCCTGCCACTAACCTAGCCATCCGCCTGGTAAACATCCCTACTTGCCTAGATTTCTTGATACAATCTTAGATTCGACACACTTGGATCTGTCGTGCAAGCAATGGCTGCCTTCTTCGCTGAAAATAACTACCAAGATGTCACTGTCAACACAAGCACTCCATTCCAGAAAGCCCACAAGACCAAACTCACCTCATTCGAGTGGCTTGTCCAGCACCCAAAGGACACTTCGAAAACCTGCAAAAGATTATGACTACACTTCAAGGATCAGAGTGGACCGAGGGATTTGACCTTTTCATCAATGAAGCCCGTAAGGTTCCATTCAAAGTTTCATCCGCCGCCCCGGAGATACCCTTCTTCGACGTTGGTGGCGGCCATGGCCACCAATGTATCGAGCTTGGGAAGAAGTATCCCAATCTCCTAGGTTACCTTGTTCTCCAGGACTTGACAGAGGCAATGAAGAATTTAACTCCGATTGATGGCGTGAAGGCTGAAGCTTATGACTTTTTCCAAACGCAACCGATCACTGGTTTGTCTCCATCCATCCTTCTGATACAAGATCTTATCAAATCTAACATTTCCTTTAATTTAGGTGCCAAATTCTACTATCTCCGCAGAATCATGCATGATTGGCCCGACGACAAAGCCACGAAGATCCTCCGCAATGTTCACGCCGCCATGGGCCCCGACTCGCGGATCTTGATCGATGATGCTGTGCTGCCAGATACTGGCGCTAAGTGGCAATCAACCGTAGCCGATCTTGCCATGATGATATTTGCTGGTAAAGAGCGGACCAAACATCAATGGGAGTCACTTGCAGAAAGCGTGGGCTTGCGCGTGGAACATATTAATGCTTATGTTGCTTCAACTTATACCGACATTCTCGTTTTGGCTTCCCAGTTAGCCACACAGGGCCGTGGGCTGAAAGTTGGGCTCATATTAGAAATATCATGTCACTCTCCTCTCTTCAACTGTATCCTGCTATTACTCCGTAATTATGAATGCGGGGGCCGTCACAGGGAGGCGTCACACAGCAACACTTGTATGCATACCTAGCATTTTGGATTCGTGAAATGCAGCTGAACTCTTTAGGAACTCTTGAGCTCTTATTCAATCAATTAATGCTTCTCCCAGGGGGTTTGTCTACATCTTGAATCCTTTACCATGTCAAGGAAATCCAAAGCACCAACCAAGATACACAAAGGTTCCTAGAGAGCTACAGCGAACTCGAAATAAACGAAGTCCTCCCACATGTTCTCTCGTTGGGGCAGGCTGCTATTTCGGACAGGAACTCCGCTTTCTGGGATTTCCCGGTTCGCAGATCTTCGGCTGCGATGCTGAGCAGGCCTTTGTAGATCTCTGGTCAGCTGGAAGAGAAGCTTTGTGGTAATATTGATGTTGTCTTTGCTAGCTCGAAAGACGTGGCGGACTGCACTCTGTACACGCGTGAGAACTGGCAAATATAAGTCAAGTGCATTTCTGCTGTCCATTTCCTATATATATTGGATGTTGTAGATACATTGATCGCAGTGATCCCGTGATATATCTTTATGGGCAATGTTCTTCACCAGCCACCTAAACTCAAAACGCCTTGCTAGCCGAGTAGATGACATAAAAGGGAAAAGGCGCTGGGGGAAAAAAAGGACAAAATGAAACGAGTGAAAAAGAAGACTAAAGCCCCAGAACTAATGCTAATACAGGTCGTGAATCATGCTCATGCTGAGTAATATATTATGAGGAGCTTCTTCTGGTAGGGTTCATTCCATGGTTGGTTTCGGGGGTGATCGAATTTATTGAGGTTGACTGGGTGGCGGCGGAGCATGGCCGGTGGTAGTCACCGATTCTGCTGAAACCACTCGAATTCCCGGCGTATGATCTGTCGGGGTTGGAGGTTCATCATTATTGATACTCTGGAACTGCGACTGAGTCGGCGTCACGGGAGACACAGTCATGGGACTGGGTAAATTGACGTGGATCGAGGGCAAACGATTGATGATTGGGAGCTGCCGCGCGTGTTCATTCTGCTCGGCAACAGGACTTTGATACGCAGGGGCATCACCCCAGTCCAGGTGCTCGTAATCAGGAGGTGGAGGAATGTTGAGCGTCCCGAGATCTCCGTCATCAGTTTGTGATACTGGTCGACTCGAGCCGTGTGTCGTGGTCTGAGTTAAACCTAGTGGTTCAAGCTCGGTAGCAGGATTGGAGTCGCTCATAATGGACGAAGAAATGGACTGTCCTCGAGAGTTGACGTTGGATAGTTCGAAAGAGGCCGCGGTGGAGCTCACAGCATCACTTTGCAACAGCGGTCGACTATCCGAATCGTGCGAGTCAGAATTATGCGAGTCGGCACGAAGCCGCGATCCATCATGGCGAACACGTCCGAGTTCAGCATAGCTCACACTGGCGATGCGTCGATCCCGCTCTCTCGACTGATGCTCAGCTAGGACCGCGGTTACGTTGATTCCACTGTTGGTTCCTGCACGGCGACGTTGTGCCCGGGCGCGAGTTTCGGCATTCAGACGTTCGAGGCGAGCAGCATCCCCACGCGCTTCAGCTTCTCGTCGCTCCCGACGTCGTGCCTCGCGATCGGCTAGTTCCTGACGGCGCTGCAGGCGAATCTGGTACAAAGAGTCCATCTGTTCCTCACGGCGAGTTTCCTGTTCTTCTGCAGTCTCGGGGTATTCCACGACCATATCCATCCCACCGCGTTCACCCTCCCGGGCGATGACTTGTTCGGTCGGCTTTGGGCTCTGGGAATAGGGAGGTAGGGTCATGATAGAACGGATCGACGTATCGCGGCGGACGCCAGTGTTGGTCTGCATCTCTGGTGCTGTACTAGCTCCACGATAAGAGGTATCTTGGCCACTTTGATTTGGGACCTGACCGTATGATGCGCTCCCTGTGCCCCATTGTTTCCATTTTTGCTTGAGGAATTTCCCCGGAAGATATTTCGGTTCGTAGTTACGTTGTCGTAGTTGTCGGGATAGGAAGTAGGCGCTCACACCGACTGCAACTGCAAATATGATGCTCACGGCACACTAAGTCGAGTCAGCACAGGGGAAGACGGTTGGAAGGGCGGGGAGATACATACAATGATAAATATGTGATTCTTGTTCGTTGTGTCATCTTGACGTTTCTGTGGAATGTACATAATGTCGGACAGGTTGCCCTAGAGATACTTAAACGAAGGCATGGAATAAAATCCCCGGATTTCAAAAGAGTCGTGGAATGTGAAAAAAGGGACAAAGCGCGTCAGCCTTGGGATACCCAGGTGGCTGGCCGGCTATTATTATACGCCAAGCAATGAAACGCTGGCGTGGGTGGAGGCTGGTCACTTTGGGCTTCTCCTTCAATCAAAATCGGGTTTATTTGGAGGATTGCCGATCTCTGTCTGCAATTGTCTGCCAATCATTTTTCTCTCATTGTTTTAAACCATGTCCACCATCGCTTTTGCAGGGAGATCCCTAACCGTTTGGACCCTTCAACTTTGAAATTTCATTCGAATGATTTACACACTATTGACTTCATTATTGACTTTTGATCGTGGGAGATGAACTGCACGAGTCCCTTTGCAGCAAAGGAAGACGTTAAACAAAAATAGATAGCCCTTGCGTTCGGGAACAACCGGTATGAGATCGTGAGACATCTGGAATATCAACCCTGGAATCGCGAATCGTCAAATCTCCACCGTTGGAGCTCATTAAGGTCTGTTTGTGATGTGAAAACCATGCTAACCTCAGCCCAAATGGTGAGATGTAAATTCGGGGAATCCTGAGATTGAGATGTTGCTCCCTCTCGAGCCCTTCTTACCATCTCTGAAACACCCCCTTTGCAGGTCGGCTCCACCAGCTTGTCTCGGCGGTTATCCGGGAAACTATCAAGTTCCCTTTTGTCTGTGGATCTATGCCTTTTCACACCGTCTACCTCGGGAATACAGACACGGACGACAGCGGATGCGCCCTTTAGTGTGGCGTTTTGCTGCTTGACTTGGTCCCGTCGCAGCCGAAGCCACACAGAGAAGTTATGATAGCATGTGCCCTCGAGCGAATTCTCTTGGTCCTTAAACCATGTCCTCAACTTGATTTGTGTCGCTTAATCCATATCATGGCGTGATGCTGAATGTTCGAGAAGATGCTTGTTCCCGAGGTCTACATCATAGCATAATAATAGAACGACATTGCTCGGGAATATTGTAATGCTTCCATAGAGCTTCTGGACAGCCATTGGACCATCATCTTATTTCCCTATTTATTTCTGAATGGATATGTAGTGTTTGCAGTGGCTAGTGAGGCGCAGTAAATGGTCGATAAGCGAAGAACACCTGATAGGGCGAGAACCCAACGTGGCCTCTAGGGGTGGCGAATCATCGCCCTGCCGGCCCAAGTCATTTTTCAGCCTCAAGTTTCACTTTATTATGAACATTCCGGGCACGCCGCAAAGCACGCCAACTCTTCGCCCAAGTTTCATGTACCACGTGTTAACAAGTGATGGGGTTTATAGGGGCGCATAGCATGGCAGCCCCTGGGAAGGCAGCTTGTTGAGAAGACAATGCTAAGGTGCCGACAATGCGGCTGTTAACTCGCCCCGTTCCCTCCTGCCTTTGAGTTAGCCAGAATTATTTGGACATACTCTGTCTCTAGGCATGTCTGAACTCCCCGCTGGATATATTGGAGATCATGCGGGCTGAGAAAGTTCCTGCCCGTCAGGTCCGAAGTATGTTTTTGTCCCATGTCCCCCAGGGATTCTGACTTCGTGGATGTAGAATGCGAACCCCAATGTTGATGTTGACGACTCCTTACCAACGATAATTTGAGCCATTACTGCCAAGTATAAGGCAACCCATATGTACTGTAGTCCTGCATAGTATACGCGTCATGTCGTTCCAGTAGAGTTGCACGATGTCTACGGTGGGCCCGCTAAAGCGAACAAAGTGTTCATTTCTCATTAGTGATGACGATATGAACGGGATTACGAGCCGGAGTTTCTAGCAAACTAGATTCTCGGCACAATTGAGATCGAATTGAAGTGTGATTCTGAGTGACTTGGTCCTCGGTTGGCAATTGTCGTACAAACACCAACCTAGACCGCCACTTATAAATGTTACCAAAGGTTCTAGGCATCACCATACTTAAAGGGTAATTCCGGGTGCGTAAATCTCGCCTATCCATATTTTATATGGAGATCGACATAGACTCTGGTTAAGGAATGCGCTGCACCCGGGCCAATTCAGCGCATGGTCGTATGGTTTTGGTTCGAAGTATGATGGCATAAGGCACGTGGAATATATTTTCTCTCATTTGCTACTTTTGGATATTGCTAGACAATGACATGTGAATGATTTGAGTGAATCGGAAATGGATTGTAGTATACTGGACCTTTGGTATATCCTATGCGAATACATACAAAGGCTATAGAAGGGGTTCTTAGCAAAGTGAGATCAAACACTTCCCATGAAGCTCAATAGAAGCCTTGGGGAATTCAATACTTGACTTAGCCAAAAGAGGATAGACTAGTATCTGGCCCTCTTATATTGTTTCAATGTTCTATCGCCGCGTGATAGAATTCCTTTTCTCTGGTGAGGGTCCATTTTTCGAAGCCATCAAATCAAATAGTTCTGTACAACAATGTTCAAACTCCTATGCGTAGGGGCATCGTGCGTGAGGTTCTTCCGCCTCAGGGTTCGGGGTTGAAAAGCCCACGATTAACATCGTCATCTGATCTATGAAAAGAAATTCAACAGTGTATTCTTTTTTAAAGTTAACAAAAATCTTGATGATCGTCTCGTGGCGGTATAGGAATATCAAATGGTTGTATTGGCCAATAAAATAAATGCAAGGATGACCCGATGCTGACCCAATGGCCAAGGCTCACGCGTCCTCCTTGACAAAAGTGAGCGAGGATATCGCAAATCAGATTTCTAGACGCTCAACTATTCAGCCTTTCGATTCCCAAAATGGGGTTTTACATAATGTGCAGCTCAAAATTGCCCCGCACAAAGAAGCCAAGATCGACACAGGTTGGAATTCGATCACCTGGAGACACGGCATGATCGTGCCGTTCCGCGGGGGCTTAGATCGCCTTTGGTATATACTGTTGTTGATATTGACGCGCAGCCTGTTTCGAACTATGATCGACATTTCCGTTAAAATCAGGTAGCCGGTCCAATGGGGTCTAAGTCACCATTTCCGAGAAACTCGAGGTCATCGCCACGCTGCATCACAGGGTCTTGTCACCCTGCCCTACCTAATGCCATAGGCTTGGTACAAATTCAACAAAGGACGTTGAGCGATAGTATATATTATGGTCCCTACCGCAGACTAAAATGTCGCTAACAGATTCAAACCCCCTCGGCAGCCTTGTGGATCTTCATACGGCTTTCTTATTGGGCTTTTGCGCCAATCATTTCAAGACATCAATCCACCTAAATTCTTCTTCAAACCCCTGAAGAGACTAATATCGGGCAAAATGGCAACATTGAACTTTGCTTTGAAAAACGACACCGGGTCTAACACGGTCTACGCATACATTACAGGCCAGGCGCTTGATAATCACAATGCGCTTTTCCTCTTGCGATCTGATGGCAAGACAGCTTACTATCCGACCTCACCATCAGCCACTATGACCGATCTGAGCGAGGATTGTGCAATTCCGCTGGGCCCATCTGGCAGTACCACCACCATCACTATTCCACACCTTGCAGGCGCGCGACTGTGGTTTGCGCAAGAGAAGAAATTGACATTCTATCTGAATCCTGGCCCTGCTCTTGTTGAGCCTTCGGTATCCAACACCGCAGACCCTAACTATAATCTGACATGGGCCTTTTGCGAATTCACCTGGAATAACGACCAGCTGTATGCGAATCTCAGCTACGTCGACTTCGTGTCGATGCCCATCGCCATGACCCTAACCAACAAAGCTGGTGCAACCCAGACCGTCAAGGGTCTGCCAGCCAATGGTCTCGACCAAGTCTGCGATGCTCTCAGAGCGCAGAACAGTAAAGATAAAGCCGGCTGGGACAAGCTCATAATCCAGCAAAACGGGGTCAACTTGCGGGCCGTTTCTCCTAACACGGGAAGAACCCTCAATAATTCTTTGTTCAACAATTACTACGAGAGCTACGTGAATGAAGTCTGGTCTTACTATGCAAACAACACCAACAATACCTTGACCGTCAATACGCAGGCTAGCGCTGGTGATGTCACAGCCAAAGTTGCCTCCGATCTCTTGTCCTTCTCAGTTCCAGGTATTTCTTACACCAAGCCCTCTACCGGAGACATCTTCAGCAACAGCACTGGCTCCTTCGCCGTTTCTGGGAATGGCACCAAAGATGCCATTACAGCTCGTCTTGCTGCTGCGTTCAATCGCTCAACCCTGCTGATAAATGGCAACCAGCCAAACGGGGAGTCGGTCTCGAACTACTACAAGAACCCTGTGACAAACCACTACTCGCGTATCTGTCATGCAGTGAGCCTTGATGCTCGGGGATATGCATTCCCCTATGATGATGTCGCGCCTGACAATGGCCCCGATCAGTCTGGCAGTGTTTATGATGGTAATCCAAAGCTCTTGACAGTCACTATTGGCAACGGCTCTAGTAAGTCTGTCAAGAAATCTGCTGTCGAGGAGGTTGTTACCCCAGTCCCGCAACCAGTTCCACAGACCAAAGAGAGCGAAAAGAAGCCGAGCCGCTTCCATGAGCTGAGAAGGTTTGTGGATAAGCTGTCGCACAAGAAGAGCGACGCCTGAGATACATAGGTTTGTCTCACTATTATTTGGTCATGTTGTCGTATATTGTAAATGTTACTGTATATACGTCGTTTTCGGTTCTCTCTTTTAATTTGTTGGAAATAGGTCAATGTGGTTTTATGTTTCTCTATTCACCAAATACGAGAGTAAGGTACTTGAAAATTGTATGACGACCTGCATCATTGCGAAGAGCCAGTTCCCTCTGCTCATTCCCTAGCATGTTTCTTAATGTAAGCCACCACTTGATCTGGCATAGCCAACCAGGGCGTGTGTCCTGTTTTAATTTTCTCAGTTTCAATCTGTGCCCCCCTCCGTCGTGCCCGCTCCACCAGCACATGCTGAACTGGCAACGGAGTCGCGCGATCCTCCTCGGTCAAAATATATGCAGATGGAATGTTCATGTACGCAGTCCCAGTAGCAGGGGCATTCTGAGTTGCCCAAGAATGTGGCTTGAGAAGCTTAGCCCACTCCGCACCATCGGCAACATCATGGAAAAACAGTACGAGCGAATCACTGGCAGTCACAGTTCCCTTCTCTTCCTAGAATAACTGTCAGCGAACACATGGAAAATTTGCAAGTTGCAAATAGAAATGAGCGGACAACTTACATCGCGCACATACCACGGCGGGGGCATCCCACCAAACGCGCCGATCAAACTCTCGCCAATGCCAGGAAGGAAAGCGGCGATGAAAATAAGTTTCACGACACCGCCCTTTTGATCGGTTGCTTCACGCTCCGACTTGCTCAGTCCATCTAACGCGCTGCTCACTGGTAACCCGGCCCAGCTGTGCGCGATGATGACGATGTCATGGCCAGCATCTGCCTCCTGCTGGGTGATAGATCTCACGGCCTCGATATCGGGTTGAAGGTCGACGACCGAGCTGGCTTGCTGTATGGAGGGAAATGCGATACTGTGACAGCTATAGTCGGCAAGTTCCTTGATAATTGGGTCGAAGATGGTGGGCGGGTACCACGCGCCCGCCGCGAAAATCAGAGTTGGCTTTGACATTGTCACCCCGGTTGATGTGAAAGCTATGTAGATTGGATACGGGCGCTTGCTTCATACAATATAAGCTTGTAAGGCCGAGAGGTTGCAAGGGTAATAATACCGATGCGGGACTCGGGGTCTAATCGATTTAATTTTACCGCTTTTCTCTCCGTCTGAATTAAGACATCTGGATTTTATCCCTATCGGTGTTCTCTATTACACTGTTGATTACCTATGATAGTGACATATTTACGTGGTGTTGCGGATTTACTCGAGTATATTGACGCCGATGACACAAATTGCAATGATATTGACCAATAGGTACAAGAAGCGGAGAAAAGAATTCGAAAATGTACATCTCTCGACTAATGATCACCGGAAAAACCTTGAAAGCAATCTAAGCACCCACTTGCTCGGGGTCACTGAGCAAGGCATGCAACTTGCTACCATTCATTTTGACCAAATCCTGATACGGCCCATCCTCTACGACAGCTCCCTGGTCAAGAACAACGACATGATTTGCGATCTCGATCATTTCCTTTGCATGCGTGATAATGATAACAGTAAGCCCCTGATGCACAGCAACCAGCTGCTGTACCGTCTGCCGCACGATCTCCGCACCCGCAGGATCCAAGCTAGACGTGGCTTCATCGAGAATGAGGATTTGAGGCTGGCGCAAAAGAGCCCGTGCAATGGCCACACGCTGTTTCTGACCACCGGAAAGGCCAACCCCGCCATCACCGATCACAGTATTGTATCCGCGCGGGAGAGATGAGATGAAATCATCAATCCCTGCTCCTTGAGCGGCAGTTCGGACACTATGAGATGAGGCTAGAGGTGAATGCTGATCTAGGCCGTAACTGATATTCTCATGAATGGTGCCGGGGAAAATAGTTGGTTGTTGCGATACGATGGAAATCTGTGAGCGGAGGGTAGGAACATGCAGCCGAAGGATGTCTGCGCCGCCGAGTGTCACGGTGGGTTGTCCAGTTTGGGAGGCTGGGGCTTCGTAGAGCGATAATAGCAGTGACGCGATTGTGGATTTTCCCGACCCAGATCGTCCTACAAGTGCCGTGCAAGAGTTGGGTGGGATGGAAATGGAGACATTCTTCAACACCATTGTGTTTGGCCGAGACGGATATCGGAAATTCACGCTGGTCAACTTGATTGGGGTGAGTTTTGAAACCGTCAAACTACCGAGGTGCTCGTGTGATCCATCTTGTGGCAAATTTGCAAGGCGAATAAGCTGCGTCGCTATCTCGCGAGAGGTGTTGATTTGGGGAACTATCAAAGGGGTTAGGAGAGTATTTTTAAGTGGTTCAGGGCCTACTAACTCCATGAGAGAATCTGAGCAGCGTAGCCGATGCTGAAAAGTAGCATCGAGAATACCATCATCACGTCGTTCACATTGAACTCGCGAGACGCTGCGAGCACCGCTCCATAATAGAAGATCAATGCTGTTCACTAGAGTTAGAACAATAGCAATCAAATAAAAGGCCAGCGAGCTTACCGGTAGAAAATATGACCGTCGATTCCACCATGCCGAAAAGCATGCCTGTGTAAATGGCACGTTTCAACCCCAGCAATAAGCATTGCGCGATGGCATTGGCTTGTTTGCGATGGAAGTGACCTTCCAATGTCAATGTTCTGACAGTACGGATCTCTGAAAATGTCTCAGTAAAGACATCGGTGGCGATACCGTTGGCATCGTTGCATCGTCTTTCCCATAATCCATTTGTTCCCTCGAAGCCTCGAGTGATGGTATAAATGGCAGGTCCACAGGAAAGAGCAACGAGTGTCAACTTCCAGCAAACAATCAAGCTCCAGATGATTGCCATGACGGTGATTGCTGCAGCAACAATTACAAAACCGGCGAAACGGCCTAGCAGGTTTCGCATATCTTCTCCGTTCTGATCGAGAGACGATGTGAGTCTGAGAGATCCGTTGCCATCTTTCTCAAACCAGGCCCGTGGTTGATCGAGAATGCGCTGGAAGGCATTTTTTCTAAAAGAATCCATCCAAGCCTCGCCGCAAAGTTCTAGGAAATAATGCATGAAAAAGGACGCAAGGCCATCTCCGAAAGACACCCCTAGTACAGCAAGTGACCATGTCATTGTCAGGTGTTCACTGTTGTTCCCAGCATAGAAGGTTCCAAACAGCTGTGACAGACAATATGAAAATGTCGGAGTTGCGCTTGCATGAGCCAGTGCTGCGGCAAATCCTAGGAAGAGGATGATTCGCTGTCTGAGCGTCAAAGTCGATAGAATGGTGCCCACAATGTGAGAGAGCGGAGTCATTCGTTCTTTCGGTGTAGGCTGTTCTTTTGATTTCTTGCGGAGGCCATGTGATCTCCGGTTACGCTTCGTCTCTGATGGATCTTTCGAGGTGTGTTTGTTGGGCCATGGATCCGACTTCAAGCCATGATCATCAATATGTACCATTTCGACGTATTCTGCGGGAAGTTGGATAGTTGTTTCTTTCGAATACCGCTGGGCACCAGGTCCCTGCGCCATGAAAGAAATACGCTGGTTTCGATCTTGCAGAGGAGATCTAGGGAAGTTCCCATTTCTGATGATGCATTCCGAATTCCTTCTCGCCATTAAGTCCAGTGAGCCGGAGCCAAAGTTTGGGGGGATGTGTCCTTGAGCCCAGGATTGCCTCGTCCGACGATGTCCGAGGAAAGCTGATTGAGGTCTTAATGTGTCCAAGCTCTCCGATGATGAGCTCTCCCAAGGACTGTCCATATCATTCAGAGCCCTCTTGTTTTGGGTCTTTACAGAACCGTCGATTTTCGTATGGAAATACTTCTCGCTTTCCGGACTGACCTCGACAGCATATCTGTAGCCGGATTTCACAATTGAGCCTTGTTCAAGGATGTACAGGAAATCCTGTTCCATGATTTGTGACATATCGTGAGTGATAATGATTGTAGTCTTACCTTTCCGCCATTCACGGATTGCTTTCATTACTGCAACTCGGTTGGTTTGATCAAGAGCGCTGGTGGGTTCATCCAGGATCAGAATTGGGGTGTCACGTAATTTCGCTCTGGCAATTGCAACTCGTTGCCTTTGACCACCACTCAAAAAGCTTCCGCCGGGCCCAACGCAAGTGTCGATTCCTTTCGGGAGTCCATCGATTGTATTCCCAAGCATGGCTAGCTCGATGGGGTCTTTGACATCTTGCTTGGTGACAGCTGCATGGTCCTGGCAACCGAAGGCGATGTTCGTGAGCACAGACTCATTGAAGAGAACACTCCTTTGCTCTAGAAGAGTGATATTGTTGCGGATCCAGTTGATATCGAGTTCTTGCATTAGATTGCGGTCAATCATGATTTCGCCTGAGGTTGGCAAATAGAACCGCATCAACAGTTGGCTGAGGGTACTTTTACCAGAGCCGCTTTTCCCTATAATAAATGTCGTTTCTCCAGCGGGGAAGAAAAAGCTTGACGGTTTGAGAACACATTGATCAGGTTGACTAGGATATGAAAATGACACCTTCATGAATGTCAGTTTGTCCAGATAAAACCCAAAGAAGGATTTAAACTCACGTTTTTGGCCTCGATATCACCTTCGCAGTGTTTCGGATACCGATTTCCCTTTACCTCGCTGACAATTTTGTCTCTCCGACTCTGTATTATTGCTTTCAAGGCGGCACCGGCGACCTTTCCTTTTTCCATAACGATCATCTGCGGCAAGACCTGCTCGATAGACTGAGCTGCGGTCAGGCAAGCCCAGAAAGTTCTGAGAACCTCTCCAGATGTGAGTTTCCCAGAACGTGCAAGCGAACTGCCATACCAGAATCCCTGAACAAACATCCCGAACATCATCCATCGGATGATAGCAATTTGCAGAGAATTCAGCAGAGCTTGTCGAAGATAGTGTGTGGCAGATCTCTCAATGCTCTCAGTAAAGTTCCGATGCTCGAAGGCCTGCCCATTATTGCATTTGACCGTGTCGATATTTGTAATAGCATTGTTGGCAACCTTCGAAGCCTCGGTCAGCTCAGCCTGCTGTGCTGTAATGCTAAATCTCATTTTGGAAGAAAGGTATCCGATAATCGCCGAGAATATGGGAATTCCCGCAAGAGTTACCAGAGAGAGGCTCCAAGATGTGTAGAAGCCTAGCCCTAGTGAAGCCAGGGAACGACACGAGTATTGCAGTACAAGGCCGAGTGGCTGTGAGGTCGCCATCTGCATTTCATGGATGTGTCTGGAAACAATATAACGTTAGATATAAGATTCCGGCGAGTATCGTTGCAAACGCACGCTTGGATTCCCGACAACAAAGCCCCGGAGCCTTCGCTTTTGGCCTCAAACCACTCAACATCGCGTTTTAATAACTCTAGAAACACCTCGCTGCGAATAACGGAGGCCTGAATTTCCCCAAATGCAACGAACAGAGCATAGTATGCGCCGTTCAAAAACCAACCAGCCACTCCCAGTCCAATCATTCCCAAGCAATTTGTGATCACTTGGTCATGAAGCCCTTTGACATCAGTCTTATCCGCGCCGAAAGAGTTGAATGAGTCAAACACATTGCCAAGGAAGACTGCAAGTGCTGGCGTGACAAGACTAGCAACCAGGGCAAAGATAGACCCGAATATGAGAGTCGGCAGGTGTCTTCGAGTCGTGAATCCGAACAGCAACTTCCAGCTCGGATTGTCCTCGGGAATATTTTCTTTGTTGGTACTTTCCTGATCAGAAGTCTTGCGTCTGAACAACATTTTGGCGTAAGGCTCGAACGTCACATTGAAGGACTGATATGACTTGCGGAGATTGTTGTTGCCACACTATAGTAGCATACCAGTGAAGCAAGAGGGAAGACGATACAGGTCGACATGAAATAGTCATCATGGGCTAATTCAGGATCGTTTGACAAGTGTAATCAACAAAAAAAGAACAATACTAAGAAATTCCCCAATGGGGTAACATTAAAGAGGGGTGCAGAACAAAGACACCCATGCCCCGACATTGTTGAAAGGCACTTGAGATGAATGTACCATTCATCAGCCTCATCCTTAAGACAGCAATCACAGACTGGAGCGTAGATGGATAATTTCTAAGTCGAACAAACATGAGGCTAGAGGATGGGCTTACTCAAATGTTTGATGCGCGGGCCACAATCACCCACAAAGAGAGCCCTGCCCACATAGACAATAGCGACCGAGGAGATAGACAAAGAATCAGTGAAATGACATTTTATTCAGGGTATATTTCAGACTCAATGTTGAAAGACGGTCGAAGTCCTGGCGGACAGCCAATCTACATTTGAGTCGCGATTAACGGTTCAATGCTAAACCAGAACCACATATCTATGGGTATGATCGCGCTTCTATCGTAACAATTAACCTCAAACCATGATACTGTGAGATCTTATAATCAGTATCACAGAGTCGAGGCCATTCCTCATTTGCGCCGCAAGGAAACAGGCAAATGCCGTGGGCCAGATCAGCCCGGATGTGGAACTGTCCTCGATTCAAAAACAGCAGCAATGAGACACGGTTTGTAATCAAGAGCTGGCCTTCTGGGCCTTCTCATAGATCCAGTCGTTCAGACCGGCGCGGTTTCTGGAAGACTCCATTAGTTTCCATACATGACTCACGCAACTCCATTCAGTACTTACCTAGCGATCTCAACAGCGTAGAACTGCATGCGCACACCGAAAATGGTGGTCTCCTGGTCATACTCGGCATCTGCACGGGTACGGATCATGGTGCCAAAGTTGAAGTCCTCGATCTTATCCCACTGCAGCATCCAGTTGCGCCACTTCTCCTTGCCAGCCTTGCTCTTCATCTCGTCCTCAACGAGAGTACCGGCGGGATCGAAATCGGGGAATGCCTCCATGAATGAATTGTAGATATCATCGTCCTGCTTGGTCAAGCGAAGCTGGGAGCCCTTGACCTTTTCCAAGATAGACCAGTATGTCATGAGATGTTCAACCGCTGCAATGTGAGAAGGTATCAATATTATGATCTTGTCCGAAGGTGTGGATGGGATGTAAATCGATGCGTGGCTAACCTTTGACGGCGAACTGCTTCTCCATCTGTTGTGATTGTCAGCGATCAATGTTCTTTAGACCATATGGACGCGGGGTCGTACATCCTCCAGATTCTCCGCCTCCTCGGGGTTGAATGGCTTCGACATTTTGACGGTTGCGTGTAAAGTAAATACTTTGAAATATGAACACAAGAAAGCAGGGATATGAGTGTGGAGGAAATCAAGTGGGAGGTGTTCGGTGCCCCGCGCATAATTTTTTTGACGGGCGGAGAGGCACCCTCCGCCTTGCATAACGTCATTCCGCCCGCAACCCGTGGACGGGTATAAATGCAATGTCCATCTCAACTATATTCAATTTGCTGTTGGATTCGATGTTCCCTTTGTAGTGTATTGACAAAAGAATCTCTCGAATAGATTCTGGATTGACGCCAGCATCATCGCTACAGAGCTACTATATAGGGCATAGTCTATGTCATAGACGTGCATGCAGCTGTAATGAAGCATACTCAAAAGCTGACATTGCCAGACTGAACAACCACGTTAGAAGATGATACTCAGTCACTATCAGTATCATCGGGCAGTTCTTCGAATCTTCCCTCATGAAGAGCCTGAGTCACAGGGTTCTCGACATTGATCAGACCATTTGCTTTGGCCCTGTGGTAATTGTTAGCAAATGAACCATATAGCTCTTGTACAATGGACATACCTCTCAAATAACACGAAGAGTCTCTCTGCTTCGCGCTCTTTCTCCTCCATGGTCATGGGAGGACCGGAATCCTGTGGCTCAGCGGCCCACCGTTGTCCAGTGATGGGATTGCGTGCGGATTCGGGGTCATCTTGGGCTGATGCTTCGCTTGCACTTTGTGGCATATCAATGCCTCGCGCTGCCAGGAACCCAGCAGCAAAGCCGTAGCCAATGTTCCTAGTAAGTTTCTCGGCATCCTTGCCCGACAAAACAAACATCAGCTCGGAAATTGTAACCTTCAGATTGGCAAAGTGGCTTGTCGAGAGCTTCAGAAGTTTTGAAGACAGTGTTCCAGACTGTCCGATTGGCAAGCTTCGGTCGGTGTCCTCGGGTAGAAGAAGCGACTCCATATACTTGCGAGGTCCATCGGGTGCCACTTCGTGGATAGCGATGAGTGAATATAGCAATGGGACTGCGTTTGCCTCTAGTTCGCTGGGGCTGTATATGGATACGGCCCGATCCAAGATGCTGATCAACTTATCCACGTTGCAATTTGGGTCGAATGTCGGAAAAAAGGGGGCTGCTCTCGAAAATTTTGCCTTTCTTTTCTTCCAAGTCAAGGATGGACAATGTATTGAGCAGGCCGCCGATTAAACCATCCAGGGGCTTTGCTGGGATATCAATGCGGCATATAATCTTCAAAATATGAGGGATGGAGGGAGAGAACTTGGTAGCGAGATCTGGAAATAACTTGGAAATGTTATATATCAATTTGAGTGTGTCTGACAATGCCAGTTCGTCCATTTGTGACAATGGCTTTCTTCCTGACTTGGGAAACTGTCTTGCATGGCGGCTCAATTGCTATACTGGTCAGCGCGGCATATCTAGCAAATTTCGAGTCTGACAATTCACTCACATAGTTGACATTATCGCCCAATGCGTGGCTCTTAACCAAGTCTTTAAAGTCCAGCGTGGTGTTATAGGTCGCATAGAACAATATCCGACTTGTAACCATCTCATCTTCCGAGTCTTCGGTCTATCAAATATCAGCTTTGGCACCGACATTCATCTGCTGTGGGCCTACCTTGAGCCTTTCTGCTAGTTTTCCACCATATCCCGTGTCTACAAAAGCCTGGCGCATTTTGGGGTCAAGTAATAGCGCGTTTGCAACACATCGCAATGCTGCTCGACGTACGTCAGGGGTCTCCCCCTCAACGCCATACCTCACCAATTTATTTATGCCCTGTAACTGATCAGAACCAATTGCAATTGTAATCCTTAACGGGCAGCTTCCTCTGTTGTGCTCATACATTCTGTGAATAGATCGGTTCCGCATTGGTAGGGTTTGTGCCGTGTTGTCGGAGTTGGAGGAGGATCTGGACTCGGTCTAATAGTAGAAGGGATTAGCATTAGACAGGTATTGTGGCTATCGCATCCGACTCACCGGCTGTTGAGAGGTTGTTCTCTTGTAGGTCTTTCTCAAGAGACTTCAGAAGCTGTGTCACTTGTTGTAGCTTCGCTGTATGCACAAGATCAAGTCAGTGGACCTGCTTGCCAAGGTGGAGCTTCTCAATCCCCACAACATACCTGTTCCTTGCATCTGAAGAAACGCCATACTGATATGAGCTCGGACTGACTCGAATGTTCCGAGTAAAGGGGACGATGTAGGACTGCTGTCACTTTCACTAAGGTCTTGTGCTGAAATAGAATCCCCTGCACAGTACAATAGTAAAATCAGATCAGTAGCTTCAGTAGGTAGCTATTGACGAGTGAACAAAAAAAAGGAGAGGGAGCCACGCGGGGAAGTCAGGCAAATCGTCATAAATTATTGTGTCCCGCACCTAAGCTGCTTCTCCTAAGAACTTTTGCTCCAGAAATCCATCCAATAATATTACATAGTACACACTTATAAGAAAAGCCCTATCTTGTACAATTCAGTCATAGATATTTAGTGAAACACGAACTTTGAACTCCGCCGTTTGCTTGAAGAATGTGACTTTGATAGAAGAAAATGTTATCCAGTGTGAACAATGAAAGCTATTATTTTTGCCCATTGCCATGCACACACTGAAATGATCTCTAATGATTATTGAAGCTATAGACAATCCCATGAAAAGTCCGCGTATTGATGCCTCGTCGCCTCAGGCGGTGACACTTTACGCGCATCGCGGCGCGTCGGAAGTTGAACTTAGTTTTCTCGACTTGACCTGGCTTCTTGATTCTTCAATCTGAAACAGATCATGGACAGGGCCTGAACAGTATCTCATTCCGCAATGATCATTGACTATCGCTTCTTTTTCTTTTTCACACTTTTCCTCTGATCCAAATCATGGTGGAGATGCTCTCTGCTGGTCCGCCTACACCCCCAAGGACCACTTCGCGCATCGTCATTGAGAACACTGATTCACCAATAGCCGTTCAAACACCCAAGGAGTCATCGTTTTCGGCGCTGGGATCGGTGGGAGCCGGCCCATCCAGCCGCAGTTCGAAGAAAGTGAACTTTTCGCCATGGCCCAAATACATCAAACCGCCAACCTTTGCTAGTGCTATGAAATCGGCCCCCGACTTCAAGATCCCTCCCTCCACGGACTCCAAACCTACAAAGTCGATCCTAAAAGCAACTCAGTCACCGATTCCCGTTTGGTCACCCAATGTCGATACATTCACCGCCGAATCGCTTGCCATGCTGCTCGAATCGGTCATCCAACAACTGGCAGGCGAGTCAATGAGCTCCCGACTCGACGCCTACATGCAATTCTTTGGCGCGCTACGAACGTACGATGGGCTTCCGGCGGGTCAGAAGATTGCCGAAAAATTGAATCTCATCACCGAGTTTATTCAGCGAGATGTGAACCGAGACCTTACGAACAGCGGCCCCCTCGACACAAACCTTGCCAATCAGGCTCTCAAATTGTCAGCTGCGTTTGTTTGGCATCCGGAAATCTCGACACAGCTTTCGGAGGAATTCAAAATCTTTCTGGTCGACCACTCCATCACTTGCCTCCATGAGGCCAAGGCCCCCAAATCCGTTTTGACGCACTACATGTCCATATTGTCTACTCAAAACTTCGGCCCCAAGATTATGACCGGTGCTCGCGTAGCCCGTCTTTTAACGGTACTACAAGAAATAACCAAGAATATCAGTGGCAACGCAATTGTTTCCCATCGATTGAACATCTACCAACGGCTGCTAGGCCAAGCCAAGCCCGCATTCATCTCCCAGGCAAATCTATGGATGGAACACTTGATATTTGGACTGCTTCACCATTTGAAGGATACCAGGTCAAAAGCGATTGCACTTGGCTTCCAGGTTGCCACAGAAGCCGGTCCAAATCCTATACTGTCGAAAAACATCCGGGATCTCTTCGACCGGCCACTAGAGCACGACCGGAAGCTTGTAACTGAGGTTCGTGAGCGCATGGCTCGGATGATGCCGACGGTGGATAGCGGTGAGCATGTTCCTCAGATTTGGAGCATCATTATCCTTCTTCTCCGGAGCAAAAGATGGAACCTGGAGCAATGGGATCATTTTAAAGAATGGGTTCTAGTTCTCCAAAAATGCTTCAATTGCAGCGAGCCTGTGATCAAGGCGCAAGCTATCGTTGGTTGGAATAGATTTGTTTTTGCTGTCAGCCCCAACGAATCGACGAGCCGGTCTCTCCTCAAAATGCTGGGCAAACCGGTACTCTCTCAATTCGACCGCAAGAAGACCGACAAGTCCGGAGCCCCGCCCACTCAGCTTGCTCTGACCAGCTATTACAATCTGCTATACTACACTTTCCGTCCTTCGGCTTCTTATCAGCATCTGGATATTATTTGGGAGGAATATGTGGCCATTCCATCTTCAGGCATCTTCTCATCAGCCCCAGTTCTCAGCGACTGTCTTTCACGCATATTGACGAACCTGTTGTGGAGTGCGCAGGCCAAAATATGGACAGAGAATCGAATCAATGATTGTGCCAAAATGGAAGCAGAGGAACTCCCTGCAGCCGATAGCAGATGGGTTCGATCAAGAATTACCTCAATTCTGAAAGTTTTTGAGCGTATGTTCAAAGCCTCAGTTTGGATTGATGACGCGATTGGCCAATCCCAGGTTGCATTGGCCTGGAACAGTCTGTCCAGTTCTCTGTCGCTTGCGTCCAGCAAAGAAATCACCCCTTCAGGGGAATCGATGCAAGCTGTTGCTAGTGTTTGGAGTCTACTGCACCGTCTCTGGAGTGCAGGGCCGCCCTCGTTGAATGCCGACACCGCAGACATTTTCTTCGAAAGATTCAGATTTCTGTCTACAACAATGCTTGTTTCTATTGGGGGCATTCCATTTACCGAAAAGTTTCTCTTGAGAAACGCGGACGAACCCGATACCACTCCCACACACGCACACCCAAATATGACCCCAGAAAGTGCTATTCTTCATCTCCTTCGAATAATCAGCAGCACTGCAAGGGAAATAGTGCCAGGGCAATCTTACACACACCTTGTGTTGGGTAACATTGAAGCAGCTTGCAATGGCAGATTCTCCCGTGGATCTCGTCTCGAACTTCTCCAACAGTGTGCAGAATTGAGCACTACGAAGGCCAGTGCTATCCCCCGTGCGCCTCTACTATCGGAGGTGGTTTGGAATGCCACTGCCCAGGCGGCTGCAAATGCTTTGCAGTCGTTCCCTATGGAATCCGCTCGTGGGCGCGATGGTTCTGTATCGCGTGACTACGAAAATGTCATCAAGATTCTCTCGTTCGGCCTTTCGTTTCCGTCCGCCTCTCAAGAGTGGTCTCATTTGCTTGAAACTTTTGTTCGCGTGGTTCGAACAGAGAAAGGGAACCAAGCGGTTGCCACGATGATTGTGGAACCCATGGCCGAACGCCTCATGCATCTTTCCGCTGAAGATACCTACCTACCCTCAACTTCACTGCTTGGCCATTCCTTGTCTATCCCTTTCATGCAAGGAACTGGGCTAGGGATTGATCGCGGCGGCATCCAGGCAACTGGTCATGCTATATTTCCTCATAAACTTCTCGAGTCAATTTCCCAAACATTACACAGTGCATACGACAATTTCAGCGCATCAAAATCCCACGGTCTTGCCGACTTCATCGAGGCATTGACTTCTTTTCTTGGCACCGGTGTTCCGCAGTTCCAATGCCAACTTCTTCAATCTCTCCAGTCATCGCTTAGTGTTTGGCTGAAGGACGAATATTACAAAATCCACGTTGACCGCGGCGTTGACAGCAGAATCCTGACATCGTGCCGTGCACTCTCGTCGGCTACTATCAATATTCTGCAAACATCAGTTTCCCATGATCTACCTTCTTTGAAAAACTTTGAGCCTATTCTGTGCGCCGGTTTGGAGTCTTTACACATTTCAACAACCAGGAGATACGTCGAACTTTGGGGCTTGACCTTTGGTTCACAGTCGTTTGTCACTCCGGTCGCCATTTTAGAAGCTGTACAAACTGCTGAGTCCAGGGTCCAGGCCGCAACCTTGCCTCTTCAAAACGGTGACCAGGATACCGAGATGTTACCTCCGCCTCCTCCGCAAGACGAGACAGATCAGCCATTGCATCGGCCGTCTCAGGACACTCAGCTTTCGTCACCCGTCATACGGACCGACGACTCCTCCCTGGTCCTCAAGCCAACTGACCAGTTCCGTGAACCCCAGTTGCCAAGTAACTTTCAGCAGCCCACAGATGCGCAAATTGCTGATGGCGTTTCGGTTTCTCACAAGCGCAGAAGCCATCGTGAAATGTTTTCGATGATTGAATCCCTTCAATCCTCGTCACCAGCCAGTACTCCACGGAAATTGGGCTTCGATACTCCTCCCAATCTGCACAAACTACAGGGGGGGTCATTGACCGAACTTCCTCTAACGCCCACTCTCGCCCCTACTGAGAATGAAGAAGGGTTCATCGGCTCGTCTCCAACACCTGGGACTAGAGACCCGACACCTGCCATGACCTCTGACGCACTAAGGTCAATCCAGGTGCCTGTAGATTCGGGTATAGACCCTCCATCATCTCCTCCCCAGATGCAATCTCGGAGCCCAAGCCCTCGGAAGGGTCGTTCGAAAAGGGCACGGCGAAGGGCTGCAAAAGCAAGAAAGGCTCTTGTTGGTACCTCCGGAAAACAGTCAACAGTCAACAGCCCGGCTACTTCTCGTCTTGCAACGGAGAGCAAAGACACACCTATGGGCGATGTCCATGACTATGATAATGAAAATGAAAATGCCGACGCTACACCTCGGGCAAACGAAATAACTTCCAGCCGGCGACTTCGATCTGCGCGCGGTAAAGACTCAGACACAGCAGAGCCTTCTCCGGAGATACCGGTTGATTCTGATAAGACACCTGTCCAACAACCTGCTCCCAGGAGTAGACCAAGCTCAAGCTCCAAGAAGAAACGGAAGCAAACTCAGTCTACGCCTGCGGACGATGAACCTCAGCAAGCCATGGACGTGCCTCCCGATAGCCTTCCGGATACTTTCATGGACTCGAGCGAGGAGACAGACACACAAATCGCATCACAGCTTGGACAGGACTTGGAACTGGCAGTGGATATGGACGATAGGACTCACCCGGAGCGAGCAAATCTTCCCAATGAGCCATCCACGAGGAAGAGAAA